CTAAATTGATATCTCTAATTCTTCCACTTACTCATTTTTTAATGTATTCTTTTATCTACATAATCTTCCCCTACTCTATTTTATCTTCCCTACATATTTATTCAATTCGTGAGGAGTGAAATATTTCAAGCTTAGACTTAATTCTAATGAGTTGTGGATTTTGAAGGATGGAAGAATTGTCTACTTTAATCTCAAATCTAATGAATTCATTCAAATTTAATTTTTCTTCTCCAAAATTATCTCTATATTCATATTCATTATTTTCGTTTCTCCCCATTAGTTGAATCAACTTTTTTTCTAGCTTTTCATTTATGAACTCATCAAATTTCTCATCTTTGCAAGAGTTATCTTCTAATTTCGGTACATAATATGCATCATCATTATCACTATCAACCTTCATGGCTACAACATACTAATTATATTTATTAATTTCATCTTCTACATTTTTTAGATCAATTGATCTTTTCTCACCTAAAACCTATTTTCCTTCATTTCTATCCTTACTCCCTTCTACTAAAATTTGGATGATTTTTTCTTGATCAACTTCTATTTCTTGAGTTAAAGGTTCTTCCTCCTCATCATCTGCACTATATTCATTCATTTATCATAATAAATAAATAATTTTATTTAAATTTTCTGTTACTATATTTTAAGCCTTAATATTCTCATTTACTTCTAATAACTCATCAATTTCTCATCAATTTCCTCTAATAATTGAGGATAAGTATCAAGTAAAATATTCTCACTCAATATATTCATTGTCCTAACATGTTCATTTTGTGAATTTGTTTCTAAATTTGTCTAATGACTCTCTTTATTGAAATCCTACTGTTGGACAGTTTTTTGAATTTTCTATGAGCTAACTAGGTGATTGTCCCTCTTCTCTTTTATTTTCAAAAACTTCTATAAATTTTTTTTATTGCAACATCATTTAGTTCATTGTTTGCTGTATCATTTGACTCATTTTTTGCATCATATTCATAAAATCATGTTAAATTTGTGATGGCTGATTTTTCTGAAATCTATGTTTCTAATTTAGACGAAATTCAGAGTTTGAATTAAGTCTAAGTGCTTCTGAATTTTAAATATTATTTAGGTCTCTCTACAAAAAGTTATTCCCCCAATTAAGATTATAAGAATTAGAAAAAATCTCCCTATTTTTAATAGAATCATGGAGTATTTACACTTGCTCTTACCTAGACTGAAATGATTGATCTAAATTATAACATTGAAATTCAAAATGATTATTTTCATCATACATAGGATAGGTACTATAAACATTAAATTGAGGGTTAAGAGGCTTTCTAATATTGTCAATTAAGTCTTTCTAATATTTTATTAATCTGATTGACCTTATTTTTTAAATTAGAATCATTTTGATAATGCAATTCATAACTTTCTCTCTTCTTATCCCTGTCATGCAATTAAGACTTGATCTCTAGAATTTTTACTTAAATTCTCATAAAGGCTATAAATTTCATTAGAAATTTTCTCTAGAAAAGTTCATTCACATATAGAATCACTATATTTCTATGTTATTTTAAAAATTCATCATAAACAATTCTATTAAACTACCACTTAGGTATAAAATGATGAGTACACTTTCTAAGTAAATTTTTGAATTTTTTCCATGTCTCATGCAAAGTTTCTCTTAGCCTTTGAAAAAAACTCTATATATATTTTCTTATATTTTTAATCTTTCCTAAGAGAGAATTTTTTTGAAAGAAAACTTATTTTATGTCTTTCCAACTAGTTAATTCTCTATCTAATGTGGATAGCCAATAACTAGTATTGTCCCTAAACGTATGAGGGAATAACTTCAGCTTTAATTTCTGGAGTAACTTGAGGGAGATTAACTAAATCAAAAATCAAATGAAATTTTTTTAAATGCTGATAAGGTTCCTCTAAAGGTAATCTATGAAAATTAGGGAGCATTTGAAAATTTTATAAATTTATTTTGAATTTAATTGTAGGTGCTAATAAAATTCTAATATTGGATGCTCTTTGATATTAATCAAGAATATAATAATTTTTCATGGCCATGAGATTATTCTTAATTTGACTTGTACTACCTTCAGATTTATCAAAATTATTTTTTTTTTCGAAATTTTGGTTTTAGATAAGATAGTGTAAGAATTTTCTAACCTTGGGTGTAAAGATCTTCTATCATGTATAAAAATCAATAAATTTGAAGAAAAAGTTTAATAATTGTTACTCTCCTTCAAAATTTGACATGACTTTGTCGTTGTACAATAAATTTCATAAATTTAAAATTTATAAAACTAAAAAATACTAATTTTCAAATATTTAGAAGTATTTTTGAACAAATATATCAATTATAATTTAATAAAAGTTTAAAAAATAGTGAAATTTTTTCAGGTCAATCATTGTAATATAATATCATGTAATATTTCAGAATTTTTCTTAAAGAAAAAGATTTTTTATGAATTTTAGACTAAGAAATAAAAATAAAATATATTTAAAATTTGTGAAAAAATAAAATAAGAGTGTGGACTTTAGGATGAGTTGGGCAAAAATAAGTTCCGCCAAATGATTCTTTTGTAAATGGTTACAAATGACTTAATTGGTCAAATTAAGATTTATAAAAGTTAAAATAATCATAATTAAATGAAGAATAATTTAGAAAATTGACATCACACAATTTATCACTAAATGAAGTGAAAATTAAGTTGAAAGTAAGAAAAATAGAGTTCCGACGTCACGACAGCGATACGTCAACACTGCATTAGAATCTTGAGAGTTCAAAAAGATTATTGTATAGTATCCATAACCTCGAAAGCTCTCTTTGGATAAAGATGATGTAAGTAATCTCTAGATCTTCTTGCAAAGTCTAGAGATCAATGAAATGAGTTATTAAATCACCTTCAGTGGCTATCATCCGATGGAATAAAAAAATGACAACTTTGTGATTCTCCAATGACTATCACTCGACGGAGATTAATTAGATGAAAGTGAGATGTGTGTCAAAGAACTTTATCTTCAAATCCGCATAGTAAAAAGAGGTTCTTCATCACATTTAGTATGCTCTCAAAAGATGGTGACTTATCTTCTAGTAATGTGTGACTTCTCGACGACGGCTTATTTGTCAATCAATCAAAAATGATTTACTTAATAGATTCGCAATCCTTTTATCACAAATCATTTAGAAAATTTAGTAACGATGCTTCGAAAATCACATTGACAAGATTTTTGTTGATGATTGAGTAAATTTTGGCAGCTTAATCTTTTATTGATGATCTATAAGAAAATTATGATTTAATCAAATAAAAATATGAGTTTTGGCTTTAGTAAGATTTGAACCCTTATCAGTCGTCTACTTGTATGAAAGAGAATGAAACAAATACTCGAATATCCTTATATAGTGATGTCATCATGGTATATCATTGTTATAAATGTAGGATAATTTAGTTATTAAAATTATTAAAAATATTCCGAAAAAAGTGTGACTAAAGTTTAGTCTCACATCAATTATACATTAAATTTTGGGACAAATATATAATAATACGAGATTTAAGAATCAATATTTCTTTTTCGCATGTATATAACCATTTCTTACCCTATGTTCAATTAACCACCAGTGATGTGGAAGGAGAGTGACACGCATGTGCCCCCAATCAAAATACCCTTAGTGGTCAAGCCTCTATTCATGGCTCTGCCAAATTGCACTTCCAATTCACTTGTGGGCTTAATTGGCCAACAAATACTCTCCTTTTTCTATTTTTTTCTTTATTTATCTAAAAAAATAAGATTATAAAAATTATATAAATTCACATAAAATTACATAATTAGCCAAAAAAATCAAATTAACTAACTAAAGATCACTTTTCACAATTTAACACAAATATAAGTTTATTTATTATGATTGAAGATTAAAATTATATTATTTATTAATTATTAACTCATGATAATGAAGACTTATCAAATTCTTATCACAAAACCTTTTAATTTCATACCACATTTCATAATTGATTTATTTTCTTGAACTGTAAACATAAACTTTGTACTTAATTCTTATAGATGAACTTCATTATTCTTTTATGAAAATTTTGTATATTAATAGTTTCCCAAAATCCAAGTGTTGATTAGTCCATCCTCTTCTCTCTACCACTGAAATTCACTTGATGAGGGATTAGTTGTAAATTTACCAAGTGATTTAGTATCCTTCTCTTAGTCAAAATGTCTCTAATATACTGTAACCACTTAATGAAATTGTACCCAATGAATTTGAATTTTGAGGTCAACCAATAGTCATAGGGGACTGAGACTGAAATTAAAATCTATTGAGGAAGAAGAAAAACACCCACATTTGACATATGATAACAAGAAAAACAGCATGATTCATTAGATCTAGCATCATGTCAACAACATGTCAACTCAAAGGAAGCAAAATAGCTAAGGAACTGTTACTATGGAAGACTTAGATTGGCTCTAATGTCATGTTGTAGATCAAACAAAGTTTGATGCACTTGTGCTTATAGAGAAAACTCTAAGTTAAAACAAGTACGACATTTTCTCTCTTTAAAAGGATTTTTTATAATGTACAAGGGTTTGATATTTATATCAGACCTTGGAAGATTCTCAACACTTATAACTGAAAATATAATAAGAGGCTGTGTCAACATAACATGTGAAAAAGTGTAAAGGACTAAGAGGGTCATAAGAATGTGTTGACATAGTCATAAGTGGTATTGACACATTCCTCGACATATATTATGTACTGAAGGAAATCTTTGTGTATCTAATTTTTTGGTATTTTCCTTGTATTTGTTGTAATTGGGGATCATTTGACATATATGTTCTCAAGAATAGATGAATTTATTTTTCATTCTCCCACTCCCTCTCATCTTATTCCTCTTCTCTCAACCTCTCATCTCATTTCACATAGAATTGTATAATGTTAAGGATAAACATGTGAAAATATCCTCAATAACTGACAATATATGATGAAAAAAATCACATGCTCTTCAACTATCAAATACTTATGCAGCTTCCCCAAGTAAGCCTTTGCTGTAGACTCTATCCTTGCTTTTCTGAGCCTGAAACATAATAAGATAAAAAAGTAAAGTGTGAATACATAATTGTTCCATCCTCAAGGGAGAGTCATTGTTAGTTCACTCTCTTCACAAACAGTTTGATAAAAACTACTCAGAATTCTTCCACACTTCTAGTTGACTATATCACTCAAGCTAATGGGAAATTTCTTAAAAATACTCATTTCTACCGCCCACTCTTCCAACATCAACCATGCATCTAAAATCCTCAGAAGATAACTGAGGATAGGACTGTCTTTCTGCTAACCTCGTTCTTGCACATAAAAGTCCTTCATTACTCATTGGAAATTTCCAATCATGTCCCAGCTATTGTGTGATTCGTCATATAAGTTTCTGGAGACGAAGAAACAATGTGTTATGTATGGCATCAGTAGAGATCACTCACTTCTTTCTCCCAGTCAGTACGCATTGTGATCCCTATGAGCAGAAGGTTTTGTGCCAGGAGTCCACATATAGTTCCCATCCAAAGTCCCTGTTTAATACAACATCGATTGGAGTATAAATTAAGCCAGGACAACATCTGAGAGTATTATTAGGGCAGTTTATGGGTTCGTTTTTCAGCAAAGAAGATAAACAAGTTAAGATGAGTTCTCACCTTCCCCCCAATGTGGAAGACAAAAGCCAAGAGAACAGCAGAAGGAATCCCCACAATGTAATAAGCTCCCAGGTTGACGAGAGCACCAATTTTCTGCCGTCCAGATCCTCGAATAGTTCCTTCACGTACAAGCACATAAAGCAACAGCCACTCAGAAAGGGCTAGCTCTGCCCACTATCTCAGCCACAAGTTGAGGCGTACGACTTGTTCGCAATGTGGAGACCACCTAGAGACTCCTCATTTTCATGGGGTTGTCTCATCTTCTCATGTCTATTGAATAGCAGTCAAGATACACACACCATAAGGTTGTGCATTGACTCTGACAAATCCTGACGAACTTATATGAACTGGTTTGGCTTAAAAAGAAAAATTGAGATTCAGACTCTTAATATGTAATAAGATAGACTAAGCTACTAATGAATGGGTTTTAAAGGGAATTGTTTATTGTGCCAGATAACTACTCTGAGTCACAATGCGATACTGAGTTGCCTGGTGCTAATACACAGATTACAGTCAAACACATGAGAATCTCAGACTTCCTTTCCACTGTACTAACACTTAACAAAAACTTACCTGAAAGCACGCATTGGATACTGTCCATGAAGTTGGAAGCTGCAACAATAGGCAGCATGATGGCCAGGTATTGCACCACTTCTTCTTCACTGCTGTACATGTAACCCCAGATTCCACGGACTAGAACTGTGACCAGTGCCACCAAGAGTCCCTCCATCACAGCCAAAAATACGACTACATAGATGGCTAATTGCGCAGCTTGCGGATTCCCAGCACCCAACTCGTTTGAAACCCGAGTGCTGCAGAAGAAAGGAAGCGAAATGTTACGGAATTTAAGAAGATTCCTTGAAGTTTTTGTCTGAGAGAAGAAAAGCTCTTGCGTGATAATTGAGTTTATCTGACCTTATAACATTGCCAAGACCTAAGGGGATCATGAAAATCATTGAAGAGGTGTTCAAGCTGTGAAAGGAGAAATCATTGTATCAGAAGAAAAACTATCATCAACTGTATACTTGATGGATGTATTTTAAAGTCAATGCTCCCTGAGAAAGCTATTTAAATTTCTTCAAAGTGTGCAAGTAAATAAAGCCTTCATAAAATGAGCTTAAAATTATGGACCCAGTCTCTCATCTAGCATTGTCTTTCTCCAATGATCTGAACTTTTAGCATGTTGGAAGTTATTTAAGCGCCCAGGTACTCTTGAGACATGATTGGCAACCTGACACATGATCAATAAAATAACCGGAAATAGAGAGGAACTTCTCACCTGATTGATAGCACTGAGGTCTCTAGGGTTGGATTTGGAAGCAGTCCGGAGAGCAGAACCAAGCACTCAAATGACCAAAATTCCAAGCTGCCGCAATGATTAACATAAGTTAAATAGACTACTTGCAGAGAGACCACTTACAGTTTGGTAGAGGGATTACCAGACCATCACAGCTGAAGGAACAGCAAGCTTGACGTAGCAGAGAACGTCATTGAAGGCTTCCTTGGAGAATCCAGTCCAGGACTTCTTACAGGTTGGAGAAACCCTCATGTAAACAGCCAATATAGCCACGTTAATCCAGCAAGAAATGCAGTTGGCGACAGCGGCGCCTCTGTTGCCAAGGCCGGACTTGAAAACCAGAACCCAGCATATCAAGACATGAAGCAGAGCCGTGGCGCCAGATCCCGCCATCATCGGCGTGACAACGCTCTGCGTCTGAAGAAACCTAACGTGGCACTGGAGGAGAGCATACCCGAAGAGGTTTGGGATCATCCATCGAGCGTATGAACCGGCTTCCTTCGAGACGTCTGGATCTTGCCCAAGCGCCAATAGTATTTCCCCTGTGCACGCCCAGATGAAGGCCAGCGGGACGCTAACCACTGTAAGGACGAGCATGGCTCTCTGCATGTGGATGCCGAGCATGTGGTATTGTCCTGCACCGAATGCCTGCCCGCAGAACGTGTCCATTGCGCTTCCCATCCCTAACTGCAAGAGGGAAAATATGATGAGAAAACAGAGTATCGTGATTAGTAGATGATCCAATCGGAGTTACTGTTGCATGGTATGGACCAAAGATGCTGGAAAGACCGGGGGACTAGTTAGTTGGAAGAGCAAGGCCATGAAGGATGACCCGGAGGAGGGCTACATGAAATCTCAGATCAGACAGAGCCAGAAAGGAATCATGGAATGAGAAAAAGCGAGAGCGAGAGAGGGAGGGAGAGAAAGAGACAGCATACTATTAGGCTGAATCCGGTGACACCAGCGAAGGAGGTGGCCATGGAGGCGCCGGCGAGGGAGAGCTCCCCGAGGTGGCCGACGAACATGATGGAGATGACATTGAGGGAGAACTGCAGAAAGCAAGACACTATCAGAGGCCCACCTAGACGCAACTGCCTCTTCACCTCTACCAAGACCTCCGTCCTCCGCCCGCCTCCATCCCCTCCATGGCTCCTCCCCGAGAACGGGATAAGGGGGGCCTCCATAGCTGCTTTGCCTCCGTCAATTTCCCGCCTTTCTCTCTCCTTCCCCCGGAACGACCGGCCCGATAGCGAACCAAGGTGCAAACCTGACAGCTTTAGACGAGGGAGGGCATGAAAGATTCCGAACAGTTCACTTATTTAGTTGAGGATCTAAATTTAAACCCTTCTGCCCTGCTCCACAGAATTTTTAGAAAATTATTTAATATTTAATATTAAATATTAATGTCACTGTCACGCTCAACTTAGTCGGATATTGGCCATTGACTTGTCAAGTTATTTATATTTTACAAAGAACAAATTCACATGCATATGCCTATGACATCCTTAACTTATGGGCGTAGAACATCGCCATCATCATGATATTGTGAGTACACACACGTGCAAATATGCATGCATTGACAAAGGTCAAGAGTGCTAGATGCATAAATAATTGTATACTAGGGGCATTAATGTCATTTATCTTTAGAACTAGAACAATCCTTGACATATGAAGATTCATTGAACCACATAAAATGTAATGTCTCTTCCCTATCTTCCCCTCTGTTATCTTGTGTCTGCAATACTTTTGGGTGTACAAGGGGATGCTCGTCTCCTAACACAAGGTGCATGTGGGCAGGTAGTGTTCCCCAACATGGCTTTAAAATATCACATGACGAAGCAATGTTTAGAGAGATGTCTCATGAACTTTGGAGGGCAATAGCACAATGAGGCTTTCAAGCCTTGTTACACGACATCACTTGATGGTGTGTAAGCAAAGCTATGAGTGTGACTATTGGGAAATGGTTTACCCCAGCTTTAACAAGGAGAGAGACATTGAAAAGTTTACATGACGGGGTCCCTCGAAAGAGAGAGATAAATACTCTGAAGGAGATCATCTCTCTTTATACGTGTATTTTTAAGAGAGAGAATACATGCCCACTTGTGCTAAGTGCACTAGAGGTGTGCTCTGTACATAAAAAACTAGTGATCTATTTATTGCTAGTTAATGAGAAATTGAGTTAAAGCATAGTTTACTAAGCCTGTGTAAACCACCTAATGCATAATCAAAATTGAAAATATAGTTAAGAGAAGTATATTAACTATTCAAAGTTCTTTATGGTGCATAAAACTATTAATACAAATTTTAGGGTGCTTCTGTCCCCATCCTACATCCACCATCCTAAGTGTTGTCCTCTTCTATGTTTTAACTAATCTTTCAGATTAGATGTTGCTTTGGTACGTGTGTGTGTCACACTCATAGCTTTGCTTTCAAGACAATCATGCTACTACTATGACGTTTGTTAGCTCTATTTGTCCAAACAGCTCAAGGTGGATTGGGACTTTAGAGTGTAAATATATTTCAAAATTTAAGACTAATTTATGTGGTTTCTTAATTTCCACTAATTAACAAAGATATGGAATAAATGTAACTAATGTTGCCACTTTGATATCTTTGAACAAAGATTAGATTTGTTCGATTCCAACTTGAGTTCTTCATGATTCAACAAGCTAAAATTACTTCAAATTTATAATTAGTTGGGGTTGTCTTTCTTCTTGTTTCATGCTATCTAAGGTTGAAGAGCTTATCACTGCCATGATAGATCACTTTTCTTACCACATAATGCCCATGTCCCTGTGGCTGCATACATCTGTAGATGATGCAGTGCACCTCTTTTTGGGATAAAGGCAATTTTGGTCATCCATATTCTGAACAAAAATAGACATTTTTGAGGAATACTTCTGCCATGAATAACAACCTCTATCAAAACTTCATCACAAGCTAATCATCACAAGTTCATACATATCATTGACGCTCCATCTAAATCTAAGGCTCTATAAGAGCATAAAGTGCTGCCTAAGATACCATAGGCTGGTGCCATAATTCTGTAGGCCTATTGAGGTTTCCATGCAAGTAGATTACGACCTCAACCTAATCAAGATACCAGCTCTCTCTAGTCTCCCTCATCTTATTGTTTGAGCAGATACATGGTTGACGAAGATAATGCTGACTTGTTGGGAAAACTAAAGGGCAACAGAGATGAGTGATTCAAGTTGAACTGTTACATCTAGTTTTTTCTCAAAGTTGAGAGGAAGACCCGCAGTTGATCTACTGTAGCTCAAAGACTCTGGCCCACAACTATCTAGACGAAAATCCTTCAACAAGATGCGAAATTTACCATGTAAAGTAAGCTGTGACGCTCCTCAGACAAAATGAGGCTCTGAGTGCAAAACTTGCCATACCGTGGGATAAGAGGGTGCGCTTATGACACAAATGACATGCCGAAAGAGAGGCACATGAGATTGTGTGATGTGCTGTGATATGTTGTAATGTTATGTGAGGAAGCATGCACGAGGTTATTTCATGGATCTTTGTGCGAGTTTCACCAAGTATTGGCGACTTTAAATAGATCGTGAGATTTCTAGAATATGTACATGACATGTTAAGGAAGGCTTGTACCTTGAGGGGGTAGAACTTTGGAGAGAAGTTACTCTGCACATACTAGAGACAAAGATTATAAACAAACTAGAGATAAGAGACTACGAGGGTTGAAAGATGATGATCGCTGCAGACTCGGAGCCTCAATCCACTTCCTCCATCTTGCTGTCTTCCTGGTCTTTCTCCTCTAGTGGCGGCATCTCGATGTCGTCGCCAACGGTTTCTTCCTCCTCAATGCTCAGACCGAGCTTTAGCATTCTGTGGATTCTGCCTGCGAAAGTGTTAGGATCGTCCAGGCTGAATCCGGACGTCAGTAGAGCGGTCTCGTACAGCAGAAGCACCAGATCCTTCACGGACTTGTCGTTCTTGTCCGCCTCGGCCCTCTTCCGCAGCTCCTCCATTATGCCGTTGTCAGGGTTGATCTCCATTGTCTTCTTGCTCGACATGTAGGAGCTCATGCTGCTGTCCCTGAGGGCTTGCGCTTTCATAATCCTCTCCATGTTTGCCGTCCAGCCGTACTCTCCCGTCACCAGGCAGCAGGGGGAGTCGACTATCCTGTCGGAGACCACCACCTTCTCTACCTTGTCGCCCAAGATGTCCTTTATGACCTTGCATAGGCTCTCAAAGGCGGTTTTCTTCTCCTCTTTTCTCTTTTTCTCCTCCTCGGTGTCCTCGAGCTTCAGGCCTTCCTTCGTGGCCGAGACGAGCTTCTTCCCGTCGTACTCCTTCAGTTGTCCCACGGCGTACTCATCTATGGCGTCCACCATGAAGAGAACTTCGTAGCCCCTCTTCTTCAGCCTCTCGAGGAAGGGGGAGTTCTCAACGGCTTTCTTGCTCTCGCCGGTGATGTAATATATCTCCTTCTGGCCCTCCTTCATCCTGGTCACATAGTCCTTCAAACTTGTCAATTCGTCGCCGCTTCTGGTAGAGTGGTACCGGAGGAGATCTGCCAGCTTCGCCCTGTTCTGGCTGTCCTCGTGGATGCCCAGTTTGATGTTCTTGGAAAAGGCCTCGTAGAATTTGTTGTAGTCATCCTTATTCTCTGCGATCTCGAAAAACATCTCGATGCATTTCTTCACGAGATTCTTCCTAATCACCTTGAGGATCTTGTTCTGCTGGAGCATCTCGCGAGAAATGTTGAGCGGCAGATCATCTGAATCCACCACTCCCTTGACGAATCCAAGGTACTCTGGGATTAGCTCCTCGCAATTATCCATGATAAAGACTCTCCTGACGTAGAGTTTAATGTTGTTCATCTTCTTCCTCGTGTCGAAGAGATCAAACGGGGCCCTCCTGGGGACAAAAAGGATGGCCTTAAACTCCAATTGCCCTTCTACGGAAAAGTGCTTGACAGCAAGATGATCCTCCCAGTCATTAGTTAGGCTCTTATAGAAGGATGAGTACTCTTCCTTTGTGATCTCCTCCGGCTTGCGGAGCCAGATGGGCTTCTGCTTGTTTATCTGCACCCATTCATGGGAGATCTCCTTTACTTTCTTCGTCTTCGATTTCTTCTCTTTGTCCTCGTCGACATCTTCAATGTCTCCTTCCTCTTCCTTTTTAGAGTCCTCTTCCTCATCGTCACTAATCTCCTTCTCAGTAGTTTTTTCAGTCCAGAGGTAGATGGGATAGCTGATGAACTCTGAATGCTTCTTTACGAGATCCTTGATTCTTCTTTCCTCTAGATACTCGACCTGTACAGAAGCACGACCCATGGGAATCGGCAAGGTGTATAAGCAAACAGGTGAGTACTAGGGCAGAGGCCGTTAAAAACCAAAATTTAGATTATAATAGAAGTCTACCTGGTCATCCTTGAGGAACAAGGTAATTTTCGTCCCTCTGCCTAATGGCTCGCCACTAACATCCCGGGTCACAGTGAACGAACCCCCAGCCTGAGACTCCCAAATATACTGTTCATCGTCACTGTGCTTTGTGGCGACAATAACCTTCTCCGCTACCAAGTAGGCTGAATAGAAACCCACGCCAAACTGGCCGATCATACTAACATCAGCACCCGCCTGCAGGGCTTCCATGAATTCCTTGGTCCCAGATCTCGCAATAGTTCCCAAATTGTTCACCAAGTCTGAAAAGGAATGTTAACGAAAAGGGAATGTCAAATAAAGATGCATGAATTGACGGACGAAAACACAAATCAAGTTCACAGACACTGATAATACTCCCAGATCAAAAGAAGGTACAACTTCTCCAAAAAAAAAAAAGTTCTAATAATGCAAGATGAATATCACCAACCCCCCCTGTAACTAGCATCCCACAAAAGAGTACTCTACTTTGATAGAAAAGTTTCGGAATACCTGAGACTCTACGCAACTTTCGTGGCAAAACTTGACAGAGGAGAGTATACATTCTAGCGCACTTGACGAGAGATGCCCCATTCTTCGAAGAACCCAATGACTCAGACTGGATGAGAAAGTCTCAAGCTATGCAACCGGGTCTTTAACACAATCGCGCCACATCCAGGCATGCAAACCGGATGTAGACACATGACAGTGGAAAAACCAGAGTCCCTGTTCAAAGACGCAACCACAGTGCAGGATACACCCATCACTCACCAGCTTTAGTCATCCCGATGCCGCTGTCGATAACGGAGAGGGTCCTATTTGCCTTGTCTGGGACAAGGCGAATGAAGAGTTCCGGCTGCGCATCAAGCTTGCTCTTATCCGTCAAACTCTCGAACCTGATCTTGTCCAAGGCCTGTCATTAGAACCGAAAAGAACCACCATAAAAGAATTAGCAGACTCAATGTAATATCGAACGAAAACCAGAGGCGTTAAGACGAGGACGAATTACTGCAAGTAGAAGAACATAAGGAGGGACGTACATCCGACGAGTTGCTGATGAGTTCCCGCAGGAAGATCTCCTTGTTGGAGTAGAAAGTGTTGATGATGAGGCTAAGGAGCTGGTTAATCTCCGCCTGGAAGGCAAAGGTCTCCTTCTCCACTCCAGCCATCTGCACGTCCGCCATATCCGACGATGAGTCCAGCCCCGGCCGCGTCTCTACAGCACGAAAGAAGGGGAACCACCTGCTCGCACGCTGCTCTTCTCCCAAATGCCTTCCTTCAGCCTCCCCAAGGCAAACAAGCGTCTGTATAAATACCTAATGGCAGAAGGGCGACGGCGGTTCTAGGAGCTTCCGAGAGAAGAATTGGCGGCAACCTTCCAGAGTGTTCAGCCGCCTCTCTTTGCCACGTGGTGGAAGTGGAAAGCGCGGGAATGGGACATGCTCGAATGCACCGGTAGTTGGAACCGGTAATGGATCGGATCCTACTGGAAGAGCCCAGACATTTGAAATTTTTATTTAACATTAAAATCATATTATGTAAGACTATTTTGAACAATAAGTCGAGGAGTGGGGCCCACCGCTGTCAAATTTTCGGTCTACTTTTTTTCTCTTCGACAGTTTCTCCCGCCAATTTTCGGCCCGTCCTCCAGCAGCACGGGCGAGTGGAGTCGCCGACGATGGTCGAGAAGAAGGCGGCGGCGGCGGCGGAAGCCTCCGTCCTACTCCGGCGCAGGCTCTGCGACAGCGCATTTATCTTCGCCCCTCTTAGATCCTCTCCGGACGGTAACTACAGGTTTGTCATGTTTTCATCCGTTTTCGTGCTTGTATCTCGTATATTTTTATTTTTCCTTTCATGTCTCGGTGGTTTTCCCTAACAATCAACAAAAGGAAGAGCCATTTTGATGGCTTCTTATCTCTGTTGATCTCAGCAAGTTGAAGTTCCTGATTTCTAACTCCATCACTGAGGCCTGCAACAACTCCGTCCTAATACTTGGGCCCCGTGGATCCGGAAAGAATGCTGTACGGCGACCTTTCCTCAAGAGTTTCTTTAACTGATAATCCCTATTGTTTGGTCATTTGGTTGATGTCTCTCATTTTTGGATTGAAGGTGCTGGAGCTTGTTCTTGAAGATCTGAGGGGGGAATATCAGGATATGATCTCTGTGGTCTGGCTTCTGTACAAATCTCACTTTCTCCCTTGGCTTTGCTTGCTATCCTTCATTTTGTGCATTAGAAAGCTTTCAGTTCAACTTCTAACTATTTTATAATCGGGATGATCTTAGGTGAGACTGAATGGGTTATTGCACGGCGATGATAACTACGGCATGAAGGTTAGTTTCTTTGAAAAAAAAGTTCCCCTTTTTCTTCGGTTTAATTGTAAAATGAAAGGTGTCGCCTTCCCAGGACGTGTTATTGTAGAAGTACTGATTCATAGAGAGATGATGTTCCTTGCTTTTGTTTGACTCTGGGTTGATAATTTAGTTATGTTGTGCAGGAAATTGCACGACAATTATGTTTGGAGCATGGTTTGTTGTTCTCAAAAATCGTATGCTCTCATATGCTTGTTAGTTTGTTATTCAAGTTCGTTTAATTTTAGGATGAAATCTCATAAATGTTCAAGGTTTTGTGGTTCCAAATGCTTTTCATTTCTGTGTAGGCTTCGTCGGATGACAACTCTAGGTTCCTGATAGATATGTTACGGTATGTGAAAAATTGTAAATTAATGTATATTAGATCTTGATTTTTTTTTACATTTTCTCTCATTTGATTTGGGTAGAGAAATTTGCACTCAAATGACTAATTTTTTAATTCTAAACTCTTCTATTTCTTGAACTTTATCCTACAGAGAGTGCGGTTTAGCTCACAAAACGGTCATCTTTGTATTGGACGAATTTGACCTCTTTACACAGGTCCCTTTGTATGGAGAATGTTTTGTGTTACTATTTCTTATATAATTATTTTATTTTATTTACTGAAAGATATTTATTTTTTAAATAATTATAGGGAAAGCAGCGTCTTCTCTATGGCTTGCTTGATGCGATGCAATCTCTAGTTTCGCAGTCTGTTGTTATTGGTGTCAGCTGTCGCTTGGTATGGAGCTTCTCACCTGTACATTCTTGCTTCTCTTGAATTTTCCATGTGAAGAAGATGTTGCGATTGATTCTATTTAACGTGCTGTGGAAGGAATTTGGAATCTTCTGTTCACGCCGATCTGCTGAATGACAATGCCTACTTTTGGAACACTTGTCTTTGGAATGATAATGTATTGAGTTAGCTTGTTTGCAGGCCAGATAGCACTCGGGGAGTAAAAATCATAGAAAAGTTGTATTCATTGGAGTATTTGGGGATTCGTCTGGTTTACTGTGGCAGCTGATGCCTTATATGTGTCAGGGCTTTAAAAATTTATGACTGCTTCGTCTGTGTTTTCCCTTTTAAAACTGGAACGCTAGTCTCTTTATGCACCTTTCATTATATTCTTGTTTAATATTAGGAAGAGATTCTTTCTTTTTGATAGAAAATGAGTTTTTTACGTTTAGAGAACATCTGATCTTTTACTTAACTGCATTGGAGATAATGTTGTGATGTTGAAGTAGTTCCCACACGTCTCAAATCAGGGAAAGATGAGCACTAGGGTTGTTTGAGTGCCAAACGTACTGATATTATTTACCCTCTTTTGGCGTTAAACAGCATCTATTGCACTGGATCTGTTAGTCTATTATGTTTAAAAGGTTATCGAACTAATCATATTTATTTGTTAGCTCTTCATATTTATTTGCCTAACCTCTTCGAAATGTGCCTTATTAAGTCTGTTCGGGATGCTGGCACGATGGTTATTATCAGCCCAACCATCTGATCAGAAACTCCAGCCCAAACAAGTTTTAAACAGTTCACATGCCAATTTTGGGTGTTCATCAGTCAGGAAGGGGTGCTGCCTCACGTAGGTACCAGTATCTATCCTTGGATCCCAGATTAAATATCCCATAGTGTTTCTGAGGAGGGATGAAATATTCTTCTCTGCCGTTACCTGAAAGGGTTTACATGCATTTTCTGGGTAGTTTTCTAAGTCATTAGACCTTTACTAGGTTGATGAGTTCACAAGGTGAGGGAGAAACGTCCTGTTATCCTAGAGCAGAGAGTTTCTTAGGCATCAAAATGGGACTTACAGGTAACTAATGCTATACGTGACCTAGCCACATGTAGCCAGGAACAATTCTGCAGATGAATTTTCTGCTTCCTTGAGATACTTCTCTCAAAAACTAACGTATCATTTAGCAATCAAGTCCGAACTAGGTAAAAAAGTCCGTACACTGGATTATAATTCTTGGAAATGTAATGCTAATGGTAGTCGCTTACTTGAGTTTATGCTAAGACTTGTCATGAACTGTGTAAGAGGGATCAACAAATATGAGAGGGAGGGACTACGCACCTAAAGTCCTGGCATTCTAAAAACAATGAAGGAACCAATACAATCTGATGTGTAGAAGCTATCGGCCATACATATGAAGGGCAGATTTGGATTGCCAATACAATCTGGTGTGAAACCGAGAAGTTTCTGCCAAGATCATATCTGATTTTCGTCACAAATGGGAAAGGAAAGCTCCATTACGAGCTGTAGTACGTATGGTAAGTTTGACACCTATGCATGCTAGATGTCACCAGAACTGTTCCACAGCTAGTAACCTTAATTCATGCTGATAGGTGGACTGTGTTGTGTTTCTCTGATCATATTAATGATGTCGTTTTGACAATCATAAAAGGTTGACAGCATAAAAAATGAACAGATTTACCTGGAAGTTACTTCTTGGCTTCAACGCTCTTCAAAGTCTGCTGTGTCACGGTTTATTTTTTTCACCGTTGGCAGGCATATACGTGAACTTAAACCCACGTTTAAAGGAGAACCAATTATTACATATAAACAAATTTGACCATTTAGCTTGGAAATTCTGAAAACTCATAAATCTTACGTTTTCGTTTTGATGTTGTATGATTGATTACTCGTGGCTCTGTACCAGGTGTAGAACTGCCTGTACATGAAAGTATATCTATAGATATGTTGGCATGGTGAATGTTATTATTTTTTTTGAAGCTTTAATCCATACGCACGTGTCATGAATTCTGCTTGAAAATTGAGATATGAATATACTTTCTTTCTAGTCAGTATTTCATTTGTATCACTGTTATTCCTCTTACATGTAAAATGTTTTTTTAGGATGCTGACCAACTTTTAGAAAAAAGAGTAAGGTCGCGTTTCTCGCATAGGAAACTTTTGTTTGTTCCTCCCTCGGTGGAAGATCTACAGAGGTATGGTTTGTTCTCATCTGTAATGTTTTTCTAGTTGGTGATTCATACCACTATTACAAAGGAACAGAAAGTAGGGTTAACGAAAAACAAAACAAAGTGAGAAGAAAGATGCCGCAGAAAATAACAGAAAGATAGAAAAAACCACATTTTTTATCCCCTCATCTAAGAGGATCGTATCTGAAAAAGAGAAAGAATGATATTCCTATTTCTATCTTGGTTAATTTTAACGGGAATGCTTGAAGGTCATCTCCTGTATCTTTCACGCATCGCTATTGACTGTCTGAAAACATGCAATATTACCGTTTCGGCCGTGGCTTTCTCTTTTCTGAAACTCTAGTAGAATTATGCTTCTTCCCTCCATCAGTTCAGTAATATTTGGCTAAACACTGACTTGATTACGGACTTTTAGGAATAGATCTTTCAATGGAAAAAAGTGTCGGTGGTCTCACATCCCGCAGATAGATGTCGGTGGTCTCCTTTGTAACCCCAAAAAATGTTGTTTTGGATGCTATCTCGCTCCTACCTGCTATCTAAAACTGTATAAAATTTTCTTGAAGATGTAGTTGTTGAGGACTATGCATTTGATACTTATTGTGTGTTTCTGCCGTTGATTTCGCAGATTGGTAGAGCGTATATTATATTTACCTGCAGACTTCAGCTCCCCATGTGATTTCGTCACGGAATTCAATTCGAAACTTGGTGTATCCTTGTCGCTCTATATTTTTGTGCCTTTGAAAATTGAGACATTTTATGATCTTTTGAAGCAGGGGACGTAGTGATGTGTCCGACATTTGGTCAAGCTCCATTTCTTTTAGAAAGCTCGTGTCAAATATCCCTGTCACATGTTCTCAATTTCTTTCTTCAAGCTAGTGGGAGCATGCCATCGTTCTCGCTATCAAACTAATCTATTTAAATTATAGATTATGTTTTGGAAATTGTTAGATCATGACTGCCAAAATCGTCAATTGTCAATTTTTGTGTTTTTCTGTTGAAATGTGCTGAAAATAGTTTCCTTTGTCAGTTTAGCTTCTTTGAACATCCTCAGAGAATCACTTCTGATCATGAAATATGTGATTATGTTTGATACTGGGGACAAAAAAAGCTATCTTGAAAAGAAATGTCTTTTAACTGTTAAAATGTTTTGCTTTTCTTCGGCAATTGAGAGTTTGGATGATCATAATGGGAAATCCTGTCCAGTGTTTCATCATCCTCTGACAATTAAGATTAAATTCGGAAATGTTTGACAAGCATTTTACATTCTCTCTTCTAATATATTACGTGCTGATTGTGCTAGCTTCTTCAACTGTTCCCTTAGCATTCCACAGAAAATTTTCGTTGACAAAAAGTTCAAAGATGTACTTGGTTCAGTGTCTAATGTAGATGGCAGCATCAGCAATCTCCTGCGGTTTTTGTAAGCTTTAATTATGGGGATTTCAGACTCAAATACTAATTTAATCTTTTATCTTTTTGTATTGAAGCCTTGAAAATTAATCTATTATCATCAGATTTCGGGTTGTATCTTCATTGGATCTGGAATCAGGACTTTTGTCACTGGATAACTTCAAGACTGCGAGTTTGTCAATCCACAGGCATCCAAAGATGGAAAATATTCGAAGTAGGTCTCAGCTTGAATTTTCATATATGAGATTCTTTGTTAGGTTAGACTATTCCACTCCTGAATTTCAGGAAGATTTGTTTTCGTTGAAGTTATATTTAACTTGGTAAATACATTCTTCATCATGTTTTGTTTAATCTAGAGCATGAATAAATGTGGCAGTTGCACCATTAAGGTATAATATACCTGCTTGGAGAGCACGTATTTCTTCTGTCAGTTCATTACGCCGACCCATTTGACCAGGAAGATGATTCTTTTCTTTTTATCCATCCACCCAATCACATACTACATTTATGTTAAGGTTTGTAATATCTTTCTGGATTCTCGATGTTCATTAATGGTCTTCTTCCTTCCACCAATTGATAATCTTACCTTATAGTTGTTCATGTCATTTTCATTGCTTGTTATTTGGAAACTCTTTCTTGGAGTTTATTATATGCTGTTAATTTACTAGCAAGGTCGGCTGAGCAGCTGGCATTCTAGAACTTGTAGAGTTAGAAACCTAAGTCAGGACATGGTGAAAGGGATGTGACTCGACTTGTCTTGAACTGACAAAATTATTCTTGCAAATAAATTTATGTTAAATTACTATAATCTCTCCGAATTTTTTTTTTGACTTCGTCAATCCTAATTTTTTGTTCAGGAATCGAATCTCGGAAACAAGCCAAGTCAAGTTAACATGCCCTTTCCCTATAATCTCTCTTGACCAGTCATTTGATAAGATCATAATATGATCTTAATATTCTTATGTTTTTGTCACATGAGGAGAAACGCTTAAATTCGTACGCCTAATTTATCTAACTCTTCACCATGTTACCAACTTTTCTAATGATAAAGCATTTAGCTCATTTAATGTTCTGTTTCACTCATCTTTCAGTTTCCTTTTGATTCCATCTTTTACCTCATATGTGTGAAGGAGTGGTTTGTTATAGTTTAAAATTTATACTGTAGGAACCCGTGAAGGATTGAAATCATCACTTGAAAATTACTTCTGTATGTGGAATGTGAAGCTACTGAAACAGAATGATCGGCATGTTTCCGCTTTTGTGTTGAAAATGAATAGTCGACATCTTTGAGTCGCTTATAGATTGAGTTATAGAATCCTCTTTTGTTTTCTCTGACTTGAATTCAGCGAGAAAAAGAAAATAAACTGAATTAAGTAAATCATCCATCTCATTGAGCAGGTTTAAATGGTAAAATTGGTTTTGTTGGTGTTATTTACCCCGAAATGTTTTCTCCAGCCTGCTCCTATCGTCCTCATAACTGGCTTTTGTGTCATAGGTCGTCAGTTTATCAATGATCCCTTTAAGAGTATTTGCTTCCATATAGTGGCTCTGGTATTGTATCATCATTTAGTTAACCATATTAAACTGATTGCGGCAGATATACATGGGACTTTGGATGAAAATACATGCAAGTAAACATAAAAAATCTTGTACACTCACCAGTGTCCACCTTGGCCTGATGAGTATGGTAATCGAGAAAGTTTGGAATGAAGGATTTTTTTTAATATTTCTCTCTTAACAATAAGTGAGCTGATTGGCACAACAAGCTCCCTTTAATTAACTTGTCTGGGTCCAATCGGATAATGTCTCTATTTCTTTTAATCTTCTGGCTAAACTATTGTGTTACGACCAGATGCGTCCATTTTGGAGCTCTATCTTCTGGTGTGCATGCATAGACTTGAAGTCAAGGAACAGAACTCGTACAATTTCAATTCAATAATGAAAGGTGAGATAATTGCGATATTAATTCTTCATTCATATTTTATTTTTTTTACATAATCTTGGATAGCAGATATTGATTGGTTCACGTTTGTGACCAGAATATAAGGCTATACATGATGCCTACAAGTCTTCTGACTGCCGGGGGGGCAATGCCTGTTTAAGGGTGCGCATCTCTTTGAATCTTAAGAGAATTTTAAGTAATATTCCTAAAGCTTTCCAATGTTATGCTCGAATGTTATGCAGGCGTTTGAGCACCTACTGGAACGGGAATTAATTAGCTTTACTGACACCCGAAGAGGGGGGTTATCTATTGAATATCGACCTGTGAAACTTCTGGTCTCACCTCATGAACTCCATCAAGGGCTGAAATCGTATCCTTCATGTCCTGTAAGTTGGTTGGGTGTTGTCATATTATGTTATGCTCCATGGCACTCTCTGTGAACTCCACAAGGATCAAAGCTAGCGAAGTTGGCCCATGGGTTTTGGGGGGGGCCGGGAGTTGTTTGTTTGTTCATATTCTACGATGCTCATTTCGATTGCCCATGGCAGGTTATACTACAGAAATTGTTGAACCACGAGACGTATAAGTGAGGCCACAGTAATGGGCAGAGTGAACTGGATGATCATCCCCATTCTCCATTTGATCACTGGTAAGCCCAAAGCGGAATGTTTGATCCTCATTTCTGTGCCAAACATCTTTGATCTCTCCTCTCCGTCTATGAATTATTCTGGAAATGACAACTGCATTGAACAGCAAGCCTTTGTGCATTTCGTAGAGTTTTTTATTTTTATTTTTTAATCAGCATTCTCGCCAATGCAGGGGCTGCTGTGGTGCTTGCGATGACATGCCTTGAATGATTGGAAAGTTTTGCAGGTTACAGTTTTGTTCTTGTCATTTATTTATTTTTACTGTACTTGCCAAAACCTTTTTCACGGCACTTGCATGCATTATTAGCACTGTATTTTTAAAAACTTTGGAGAACATACACGTCATCATGTTGCCAGTGAGATAGGGGTTTTGACCAGGCAATGGTTTCTCATGTTGCCTGGTGATAACTCATGCATTTACAGAAAAAGCGAACCCTTGATGACCGTGTTAGTATCACCTTTTGAAGCTTGGTTTCTTTTGAGAAGGAAAGCCTCCAACATATGGAAATGGAAATTGCCTCGTGAAAATACTACCCATCTAAGCATGCATGCCGGTTTGACCTTTGCAGTCTCCTTTCATAGAAAACACCTCCTTGAAGGGCTGAAGAAGAGTTTTAGTTCGTGAACTGTAGAAATCAGTCTTGCCAATAACTTTCTGACCAGATGGGCAACCTGAGTCAGGAGTTCACAGCAGAAATCCCTCAATAATGCTAGACTGCATTCACTCAACAGACCATGAAAGAGTTTACGAGCATGGGTTGATACATAGTTCTGAAAATTTTCCTTATTTTGGTGAGACCCTTCTCGACGAACAAAAAGAAGCTCTCAGGTTTATTCTCCTTTATGGCAACCGAAACGCCGACAAAACTCCTTCAGTAGGTGTAGCCTTTGACGAACATCCCTTTCTGTGCGTCATCACTCTCACCCTCCGCTGAGTAGCGGCCAAGCTGAGCGAGAGAATTGGCCTTGGCCCGTGCCAGAAGAGCCTTCTGTGCCGCCTCAACGTTCTCTGGCCGTCCCTTCCACGTCTTCAAGACCGTGTTCTGGAGGGCCCGAGCGTAGGAGAATGAGACGTGCCATGGGTTGTGAGATTGATTCATCGCATTCAGGTTCAATGTCGCCTCCATCTCTGACTGCCCACCTGACAAGAACTGCACCCACCATGGGTCATTTATCCCCGTTATTTTCCATAGATCATACGGATAATGCTTCCATTATTATCCACCAGGGTCCGTCAGCTATGTCTAGCCAAAATCAAATCCATAGATCATAGAAAGAGTTAAGGTGAGATAGTTGGTAGGAGGTACCATGATCCCGGGGACGGCAGGGGGCACTCTCCTCTGCAGCATGGCGAGGGTGTGCTTGGCGATCGTCTCTGGGGTGGCCCTCTTCTCATGCTCGGCGCCGGGGGTGACCATGCTGGGCTTGAGAAGGATGCCCTCGAACATCACGTTGTTTTCGGCCAGGTAGTAGAACACCTCAGCCCACACAGCTTCAGCCACCTCCAGAGTCCTCTCGATGGGGTGGTCTCCGTCGAGAAGGATTTCTGGTTCCACTATCGGCACAAGGCCATTGTCCTTCAAATGCCATGACAATTTACTATCAGTAAGTTCGACTTGGATCATCTATGTCACAAGATTCTGAAGAAAACTTATTTGTGCGTGTCAATGTGCGTTATGCTCACAAAAAGCAACTACACTGAAGTTTGAGGAAATTTCTTAGTTTGTAGGATTTTGATGTCTGATAACAGCAGAGCAGGTCCAATTTAGTAGGATGACATCCTCGAATGACAAAAAAAATTGGAAGAAATTTATGGTGGGAAAGATAACTTCTACCTCTTCTTCATAGGGGGCAAGATGCGAAGGCACCATAGTAATTTCACTATTAGATGCTTACATGAAAGGAATGATAATTATTTATATTATACTTTCTTTCATAAACTCAATGCTGAGGAACAAAGAAAAAACAGCCATATCAAAATCTAAGCGGCATACATTGAGCATTTTCTCCTTAGCAGATCCTTTCGGATCAAAGGAAGGGCGATATGGAAACATATTTGGCAAAAAAACTAGAAAATAGCTTTGGAGCATGGTTATTTTCAGGTCTGGAGGGAAAATAACAAAAAAAATCACTGCTCAAGAGGCCATGAAAGAGTCCAACCAAGAAGCAAATATTGTCCTTGCCCAAAATCGCGCTATGTGACGAATATTAATTACATTTAGGTAATTGACCCTCCGGAAGTAAACTAAGGTGGGCAATAACCTGGATCCTTCAGGAATCCTAAGCTCTCACACTTGAAATATTTATGTGGTCCATTTCTCCAAAGTAGCAGCAGAAATATTTGAAAGAACTCCTGATAGAATTCTTACGACAGCAGAATGGCACAGAAAAGCAGAAGATCGTGGGAGGAGTGGACGAAGATGGATAGAAAGAAGGGACATTTGGCATGCAGCCATTGAGAGAGCTCCACGTTGAAGGCTCTAGGTTCCTTAAAATCGTATTGAAGAGGTCTTGGAAGTCTCACAAGGGATGGATCGCTGGCTATCTCCTCATCATACCTGAGGATTTAGACATAGAAAGCAATATTACCCACTAAGAGGCTAATACATAAACGTGTTCTTAAACCAGTTACCAGTGGCAACTGGGATACCAATAAGTGAAGATACCCCTCCCTTCGAAACCCAATAAGAACATTAGAGATTAAAGAAGTAATTAGCGCCCCAATGGCCATCTACATTGTTTGCGATCAGCTAAGCACCCACTTGCACATCCCCTCAAGTATGATGAACCAATATGAAGCAAATATCCAACAATACGGAAATTCAAAACACATCTACTTTGGAGAAACAGGTGCTAGTGATAAGAGTGATCTCCTAGTATATGGAGAGACAGGTTCCCTTCTATGAGGAGGCACCTCCTTCTCAAAATATGGGAATAATGTGAATGGGTATATGTCAAACCTCTCAGCTCTGAACTATAGCACTATTCACACAGCTTCCTGACCACGTCTGTCAGGCAAAAAACGTGGGGTTCAAACAGCAGGTCAGGGAAGCAACCCCACAGAGTCCACTAATAATTAACAATAAAAATCTGAGAAAAAGATGCTCTTGAGAAATCTACAACAACAAGTTAGAACATAAGAAAAAAATCCTAGTGTGCGTGTATTTATGAAGAAAATGCAAAAGCTGTAATTAAATATGTTTTTCAGATAAAAATCGCAAGACTTTTGGAAGGAATTCAACTGGGAAACAACTCTAAATTTGAATTATCTTCGGTGTAACTTGAACGCTTGGTGCCAGAATATGCAAATGATGAGATTATCAGTACCTGAGCAATAGCAGCATAACGAGCAAGGCCCCATGCAGCTTCCTTTACAGCCAGTGCAGATGGGCCACAAGGAATGCTAACAACTGTACGCCTGAAGGCTCGAAAAAGAAACAAGAATTAAAGAATACATAAATTCCACACAAAATGAACAAAAATTATAGATACCCACAAGTCCATAACAAAAGACATGCAATGAAAAAAGCTTGAAAATGATATGCACTCACCATTTTGCAAAGCGTGCACCTTGCTTGTAGTATTCAGCACATCTTGAAGCCAATCCATCCAATCCTTGACACCATGACTCATTGTTTGATCCTGGTAGAGGCACCAAACCCTTCAAAAGAAAGCCAGTTTGAAATATGTCATCTTTCCCAAATACTAAGTGAGTTTGTATGAGGGATTTTGCTAAACTGGTTAAATGACATAAATGACAAGAAGAATTACCTTATCGACTTTAATTCCAGGCATAATATTCCCTTCATACAGACAGTCCACAAATTTCTTTCCATCTACTGTGGACTGATAAAGTGTTTCCTCAAATAGAATAGCACCAGAAATGTATTCACCCAGTCCAGGGGTTGTCAACAGAAGTTGCCTATAAGCTTGACGATTTTCTTCTGTGTTATCCAGCCCAATTGAAGCAAGCCTCTTTCCACACGTGGCATTTGATTCGTCAATGGCAAGAATGCCACGCCCAGGAGATGCAATAGATTTCTATAATCATACATTCCATAGACAAATCAGAGAGCTATCCACCTTAACATTGTGAGGAAATAAACAATTTTTTTGCATTTTGCCAAAAAAATGAGAAACAAATCAATATAAAAGGGTAGCAATCGAAACGCAGACTAAGGGTCTCCTTGGACGTAACTAAGAGATAGCGACACGTAGTCAACCGTCAAAAAAAATAAATCTCATCGGCTATAGAATACTTTTAAACGTACAGCTGAAGGCGTACAACAAAGTGCGACAATGAGGACGACACACGAGATGTTATCACATCAAGACCAAACACAAATGTCCAGCCAAGACTCCGTTGAACCAAGGCAAGGCAACGTAGTTTAAACGTAATAATGTTCCAAGGAAAAGTCGACGCTAGATCAGAAGATAGAATTGAACTTCAGACTCAGGGAATTCATCTGAATGCTCCATGCAGAAGCAAACCCTTATAGACATGTTCGATCTTCGGTTTTCCATTAAAGGTTGGAGAAGGACAATCACTCGTTCTCGAAGCCAGAGCCAAAGGAACTCCCGATCTGGGGGTCCCCAATATTTTGACTGTTGTAAGCGGCAGATTAAGTAAAATCAACGCTACAAACAGAGCCTACCACATTGATCCAAACACAACGGGTAAACGGCGAACTTGATCTGCGACAAGCAGACATTTTGACTGATAAAACCATGAAACTACATGTGCGTTGAACGGCTGATGTAATATTTTCAGATCATGAAACTACATGTGCACTTCCGAGTTAAAATGCAAAAGGAGAAAAACGAAAACCTATTTAATTACGGTTTACATCGCAGGACAGAAATCCTGTTCTAAGAGATGCGATTAATACAAAAGGAAAACCGAGAAAAAATAGATCAAAATTCGGGCTGCAGTTTTCTCAGTAACAAAAGATGAAGAAGAAATATATATATATATATATATGGACAAGGAAAATTCAGGAATCCAGTTGGGGGAAGAAGACAACGAGCCACTCACGGCGGTTTGGACGAGCTCGTCGGAATAGGCCCCTGCCTTGACCTGCACGACCACCCGTCGCGGCACTGTCCGGAGGGAACTCACGCCGCGGTTCAACAGCTTCCGGCTGCCGATCCACCTCGTCGACGGCGGAGCAGTCGCTGTCGCCATCTCTCTCTCTCTCTCTCTCTGCTTCCTCGGCGATGTCGATTTCACTCTCTCTAACCTCTCCGGTTCTCCGCCGATGGGGTCGTTTTTAAAGCCGGAAAGAGACAAGCCACTTAAGGGCATATATGTAATTGTTCATGATAGAGAGGTGATGACGATTGCTGACATCCTCCGTACCAGTCTCTTATCCCTTCGGAACAAGATAAAGCGCATAAGGTCACTGCATATTCTCCGTCTATTTCCACCTCCTCATAGGCCTCGATGGCGTGGCTCTACGGAGAATGGATTCGGATATAATGTCCCCAGGAAACATCAAACCTTGTGGGGCTGCTCGATCCGGCCGGTAGGTGGCTATCAACACACGTGAGATCGGATTTCTCGTCGCCACCCACCACGGCAACGTGTCTCGTCTCACGTGATCTCGCCTTCCTCACGGCGCTAGTCAACTCTGCAATAGATACGTCCCGGTCAACGATTGGGCCCCCACGCTGACCACCGGAAGAGCAACGGGTCGGCCAGGCTTCCATTTATGAACCCCAGTCCAGATAGTTTTATATAGTACTTAAATGGAAGCAGACCAAAACAATGTGGCGGCCATTTCTGGCAAAGAGATCAAGATTCAATACCAAAGTCGAATCAGGGAACAGTTTGACTTCAACCAAAATCACGATCGGTTGACCGTTGTTTATGGAAGAATCCCTGTAGACCCTTATTTTTTTAGCACTAAGAAGCCCATATATATATCTTATTTTTCATCATACATACATACCTTTGATTGTTCAACTACATCCCTCAAAATTTTTACATCCTCGCACTTCAGTTTGACAATTGGCACAACTAACGACAGTTGACCTGTAATTATGTCAACTCTTGTTTCTCATGGCATTCATTCATGGAATGACCCTTTCTGTAAACGACTCTCTATTGTTGCACATGTTGTCAATTAAAGTAAATTAACACTCTCTATGAGAATCTTCTCTTGAGAGCTTATAGAGAATCTTCTCTCTATATGTTGCCATGCTTATCTCCAAGTATCATGTGTCTCACATTTTGTTATGCTTCACATAATACACAAAAAAAAAATCGTTTTTTTATTAAATTGAATTTTTATAATAATTTGACATAATTTCAAACCCAATTTGAGTACATTCATGGGGAATTTTCTTGATTAGATAATCAATTAGAATTTTATAGTTTGATTATTTAATTATAAAAATGTCTCATTAATTGGTACTCCCTTGCAGTATCTAAAAAATAGTTGAGTAGACGTTTTGCAAACCAATCCAAAAATATTATCAACATGTATCCAAAAAAAAGGAATCTCTTATCAAACAATTAAAGAACTAAATCCCTTATAAGTGCTACACTTCACTCATTGGAAGCTTAGACAAAATTGACCAAGGAATAGAGCTGGGGAAGAAGGTTAATTTTAAAATGCCTTATGTCATCATGACTATCTTAGCGTGACTTATATTAATTGACTTAGTAATGCTGATCTTTTCTCCATCAATAATGACAAAAATCTATCAAAAAGTGCAACAACAAATTATTTTCTAAATCATGTCCATTCTTCTAGTATGCTTAAAGAATGACAAAATCCAATTTCTTCAACTAATTCAGCATTCAAATTGGAGAGAACAATTTGAAACATGGATCAGGCAACTAGGATGTCATTTATTTAAATATTTTTTTAATATTATATAAGGCATACATGATAAATCCCTTCATCTTAGTTACCAAAGATCCTTCTAAGAGGTTAAAAACTTCTTTGAATGGCTCCAGCTGCCAACAATGGCATCACATGGCTATAGGCTTTACCCTCATTTGGTTTTCATGATATCAAAGCACTTGAGTAGAATTAGCTGATGTAATCTGTGCATATCATTTCTACAGAACTAAAGCTTAAGATTATGTTATCAATCTATTATGCTTGCATTTAGTAATGGGTAAATCTCATGCAATGATTGTCCGAGTTCTACAATATCTTTTGTATCTTTCTTCTTGAACAATACCAAGAACTTTTCTGGATTACAAATCTACCACTCACATTGAGCCACCTAGGTCTTGAAAGTAGATTCCATATTTTGGATAAACTTGAGTTGCTAATTTTAATATAGAAGCTTTGGCAATTGATTTACATAAATTCAATATTTCTAAAAAACAATATTTAAAGATAACCCATTGATTAAATTCATAACTTTGAATTGTATTATTCCAATGTGTGAGGCTGGCCTTTTAGAATAAATAGTTTAACCTATTTTAGCTTCTAGAAAAAATTGTGGACAACCAAATGAAATCAATAGTGAAAATTAGAGTGGTAGTGAAATAATATTATATTTTTTATTCTTACTATCACCACAACACAAAACGATTAAGCTCCAATTTTAGCATATAAAAAATCAAATAAAATTTAACAATATTTTCATCATTTAAATTCATTATAGTGATGTTTTAGAAAAAAATTCATCATCTGGTTGTCCATTATTTGAATTTTTTACCTATCGTAGTATTTCAATCAAACTCATTACCAATGACTTTATAATTAGTCAAACATTTTAAAAGTTACTAAAAGGTATGTGGCATATGTTTTCTAGAATAAATATCAAAGTGTATTAGTTTTGCAGTAAATAATAGTTTTTAGGAGAGTTCTAGAAGAACCAAGTGCAAAGTTGATTTGGATCTTTTTTAATTCAGATTATGAAATTTGGACTTGTAGTGGTCTAGTCTATTTGGCCTACTCAACTATCTTAAGACATTGTCCTTCATTGTTGAGCACAATGACTTCAATTATCTTTCACTAAATTCTAGCCAACCCAATTGTTTCTTAGAAACACTTCTTTCAAAGTCACCTCTATCAACACCTACTCAATTTCTTCTAAATCCACAACTCTAGGAGGGAAATCAAATAAGTGTTCATTTAATTTCTTCTTGACACACCTCCAGCTCAACTTGAGCATCAAAAATATTACATGGAAAATTAATAATAAATTAATAATTTATAGTATTGGCAAAGAGCTTTTGGTGGCATTAAATGCTCAGCTCAAAGTTGTAACAAAATCTTGGTGTGTGGATGCACTTGAATGTTTAATAGAGAAACATTGAAGTCAATCATTGAATGATTTTCCTCCACTTGGGATTTGGGGAGCACCTTTTTTTTTCATTTAAGGGCCAATTTTTTAATTTTTTTGAAAATTTTAATGACATTTTTTTTAACATAATTTTTTTGAAAATGATTAGAAAAGGTTTTCAATGACTATTGCTTCCAATTAGAGGGTCTTGTATTTTTTTGTCAATTTTTCTATTGTCTTATACTACAACACCCTTTAATTGCTCACTCTCTCTTGAGTTGACCCTTTCTATTGTGAAGAAAAACATAAATTATGATGGAAAAGTGGGGTTTAAAAATTCTTATTAAAATTTTACAAACTAATTTAGAGTAGTTGGAAGCAAACATTTTCAAGAGTTACATAGATGTTCAAATATTTTGGTAACTTAGAAATACTATTTTATCTTTGAGCAAAATTTCTTAAATTTTGATCCTTTTCCTTCTTGATGACTTACCTATTTAAAAGGTGAACTTTGCAAGCTGAGTGGGTAAGGTGTTTTGTTATATGAAATTACCATATTACCCTTTCATAATGTCTTCCTAACTTTTTAAAACTCATATAACTAGGTAAGTCTAACATTGAGACTCTTTTTTAGTGAAAAAAGAGAACTTTCCATCACATCATAAAAGAAATCAAGCCAATTCAATTAGGGATTTATAATAAATGATTTATTTTCAACAATCAAAAATAAATTTGGTGTGTCTGTTATGTCCACTCCCTTAATAAAATAGAAAAGGACCCTCTAGGCCATGCACCCAATCCCAAAATCACGTAGTACTGTTTTAAAGGATTGAAAAGTATTAATATTGTATTTCTCAAACATACATACACAATCATGATATTACATAATGACTACTCTACTAGTCTACCCATCTGTTATGATCAATTTTGTAAAGGCTTTCAAAGCCAATTGCAAACTGTTCTTATTTTTATAGTTTTCTTTGTGAAGCAAATTAGCTACTATTCCTTGAATGGTAAATATTGTATGTATTTCCCACATTAGTAAGCAACTAAAAACATCTCTAAACTAGAATATAAAGATTGGTCCCCTACATCTAAAAGTCATCTTAGTTCAGATATGCACATGCGAAAGGTATTAATCAATCTTGTAGAGCAAGCTTTCCTTTAATTTAGCTTTTTGATAATAATCAAGGGAAAATAAGAAGTCCACTCATTTTTGTGGCTATCGGAGGAAAATCTTTAACACTAATGGCATTTACAATATATAAAATCACCTACATATATTTGGTATATAACGCTTAAAAAAATCTAAAACCCAAGTCTCTCTCTCTCTCTCTCTCTCTCTCTCTCTCTCTCTCTCTCTCTCTCTCTCTCTCTTTCTCTCTCTCTCTCCCCCCACCCTGCCTCCCTCCCTCTATCGCTGCTCTCTCCATGGACTTGTTCCACCTCCAGCCACACGTTTTTGTTCTCCGGTATTCCCCATCGTCGCACACAGTTCGGACCTCGTTTCCAATAGACAAAGTGAGGTTTTTAAAGCTCTCCAAGTGATTCCTCGGCAACAGGGAGTGGTTCTCCGTTTCTCCATGCGACGGCAAGCAGCCCTGTAAATCCTCACACTGACCAATCTCGATACTGGTTGGTTTATTGACTGTTCTTCACATTCCACTGTTGCGACCGACATCTTCCGAGTCTAGGATGACCACGTCACCCTCTTCATGTCTAAACTTACGGTCAAATCGAGTGTGCTCAGATGAAAAAAACATCTCAAGTTTGGTCTAATCGACAGGCCAGCTCTGACTCCGTCTGTGAGCGTTCTTCATCATCCCGAACACAGCGTAGAGTCAAAGGAATCACGTGGAAGCAGCGCGGAGTAGCCTTGATGAATAACGATGGAAGTTTTATTACTTTGCCAGTCGTAGGAGGCGTTACAGATGAGAGCTCGTCTGTACACAACGAAAGAAAATCCTCCCGCTCAAGGAAACGGCGTGAGATGGAACGAAAGAATGAATAAACAAAGCAACGAATGGGTTAGGCGAAGGGAGATAAAGAAGAATGAGAACTCGACGGAGGAGAAAGAAACAGCCTCCTCCGCCGCCGCTTTCTCTCTCTCTCTCCCTCTCTCTCCTATTCACAAGGCGGCGAACTCTCGGGGGGCGAGCAGGGACTTGTAGACCTCGATGAGGATCCTGGTGTCGAAGTCGATGGGGGGCGGCGCCGCCGGGCGGCCCTTGGGAACCCTCTTGGACCAAAGTGCCCCCGAACCGGCGAAGCCCGACATGCGGCCGCCCTTCCCGGCCATCGCCAGCATGGCGCTGATGTACGAGTCCTTGGCCCGGACCAGCAGCCTCATGGGGGAGCAGAACCTCAAAATCCGTCGCATCCTCAGCCCCCCCCGGCCACCGGCGGCACCGCCGTTGCCCAGTTTCTTCTTGTTCCGGCCGCCACCGCCGCCGAGCTTCACTACCCTCCGACTCCTCCGGTCCCCCACCACCTCTCCGTCCTCCAGCCTCTGGTATCTCCTCCCCGACATCATTGTTATGTTCCTGCAGAACTGCACCGGAAAGATCTCCATCTCTCTCTCCCTCTCTCTATTTCTATCTGTCTATCTGCTCTCCAGATGGTGGTGCTGGGGGTGGCGTGCTATTTATCATGTGTCCTTCAAGCGAGAGAGAGGGGCTGAATTCATGGCTTCCTTCGTTCAAAGTCAATAATGGTGGTCGTCGGTCGTGGCCAATACATTGGTGCAGTGGGGTCCACATAAGAATATCGAGCTCTAGCTTCTTAGTCACGCTCGGATCCCGCCGCCCCCCCCCCCCCCCTCCCCCCAACGGTCCTCCCTGCAGGGTTGACTTATGCATAGAATTAGAATAGGTGTACAGCGTTGGTCAAACTTGTTGAACACTCGAATTTTATTTCATCATGACGCGTATTTTATTTCATCGTGAGACTTGTATTTTTTGTGGAAAATAAATGTGAAAAGACAATTGGACTTGATACGGAGCGGAATGAAGTCTACAACAAAGACATGCCAAGTCAATCAAATGATGTTGATGGAATGAACCTCCCTGGTGGACAGCTACATGCTGATGAGAGTAGATATTCTTCTTCATCCATCTTCACTAGATAACATGTGACTCCTTCACTATCCATCCATTCTTCAAAGTAATAATGACTGTTTTCATCTTTGTTTCAATACTTAAATATCACAAACTTCTCTTGTGATATATTTCAACTTGCATAGTGCAAATAAATACCTTTCCTTGAAAATAATTTTAACTATATCAATTATTTTCTTTGGATACGTATTTCGAGTCCCTCATCAACAAACATCACAGGTGCTTGATGGTTTGTCACCTTTTTAGATGATTACGGAAAATTTGCATAAATTTATTACATTATCACAATTTCATTCTTTAGTTAAAAAACAGTTTATTATCACAAACACAAAAGTATATTGGTTATTCACAAACACAAAAGTATAAATTCTGTCACCTTGAATCAAAAATAACATGGGTTATTCAAGTCTGCATCTAAGGATAAAATTTTCATTAAAAAAATTTATGTCAATATAACTTTTCATTAGAATAAATTATATTATTCAAGTCTGCTTCTAAGGAGATGGCCAAGTAATTGAAAATACTAAAGACAACACTTCACCTTCAAACTTATCCACCTATATATTATGGTATCATACTATTTTGCCAAATGCATCATCGCAATTTCATTCACATCCTAATACTACTAGACCTAATGCTCTTGAATTCACATTTCCAAAAACTACATCACAAATGTCAAAGTCTAAATTTAGTCAATTCATCTGGAAGATGATGAGAGAAATAACCTATTCATAGCTGATAATGATACTTTACCTATTGTTCCTAAGAAAGGAACATGGGTTTATAGTAGCATTTATATAAGACGTCATTATTTCATATAAGACGTCATTATAGAGCCTTTATTGCTAACTTAAATAAGATTATCACCCAACTTCTATTTCTGAATTATTTTGTAGTAAAGAATAGAAACATGCTATGAACAAGTAATTTAGATGCCTCAAAGAAAAATAAAACTTGAGAACTAACGACATTGCCAATAGGGAAAAAATCTATTAGTTACATATGGGTTTACATAATTAAATATACAGTTGATGGAAGTATAGAAAAATACAAGGTTTGTATGATTACAAAAGAATATATGAAAATTTATGCAATTAATTAATTAGGAAGTTTTCACTTGAAGCAAAAATGAATAAGATCAAGACTTTGTTAGCACTTGTTGCTAATTAAAACAAGGACATACAATATTTCAATGTAAAAAGTACCTTTTTGCATGGAGAAATAAGTAATAAAAGTTATATGCAAGTCTCATCAATATAAGGACTGAATTATCTACAAATATTATCTATAAGTTGAATAATGCATTGTATGGACAGAAGCAGTCACCTCAAACCTAGTTTGGGCACTTTTCTTAAGTTGTGTATGCATTGGGTATAAAAAAAATTTAAATCATACCCTTTTTATTAAACATCCATCTTTAAGAGGTGTTACCATATTATTAGTCTATGTCAATAATATCATCATGAAAAAAATGACAAAAGAGGAAAAGAGTATCAAAATTAGTGCCTGAAATAGAATTTGAAGTTAAAACACTATAAAAGTTAAAGCATTTTCTTGGAATTGAACTATGCCTAAATTAATGGTTTAAAAGTCACTAAAAGTTATTCCCTATTTAATATGTGAGATGTATTTTTGAGAATAGATACTAAAGTGTGCTAGCCTTGTGGTAGATAATAGTTTCTAGGAGAGAACTACAGGAACTAAGAGCAAGGTTGATTTTCATATTTTTTATGTATAATTCAGATTATGAAATTCGGATCTGTAGTGTTTAGTCCACTTGACATACTCAACACTCTTATGATATGATCATTAATCATTGAACACACAAACTTCAACTGCCTCCACTAAATTTCATAACTTTAGTCAATATAGTAGTTTCCTAGAAGCACTTTTTAAATTCGCACCTCTATGGGGCAAACCATATGAACATCTACTTAATCTCTTCTATATTTACAACCTAGCAGGCCAATCAAATTAGCACCAAAATAGTTTCTTCCTAACACAGTTCAAACCCAACTTAAGTACCAAAAATAGTTAACAAATCAAAAAAAATTAATCATAACATAGATTTGTATGTGACTTCCAATAGCATGAATTGCTTTGCTTGAAGTTGTAGAAACATCTTAAGGTGAGAAGGCACTTGAATGTTTCAAAGAGCCATGTTGAATTCAATCCTTGAATTATTTTTCATCCACTTTGTAATTGGGGAGAATGTTCCATTGAGGGACAATTTTTTTAATTTCTTGAATGTTCTAATGATCAAAAAGTGATTATAAAATGATCCCAAATGACTAGTTGTGGAGAGGTATTGTAACTTTTTGTCATTTTTCCTATTTTTTCGAATACCACAGCACCCTTTAATTGCTCACTCTCTCAAAGTAGATTCACTTCTAACTATGAAGAAAATTTTAAATTGTTGAAAGAAAGTGAACTCTAAAACTTATCATTAAATTTTAGAAACATAATAAATACAATTTTATCTTTTAGTATTTTTTCTCCAACTTTGATTTTTCTCCTTCTTGATGAGTTTACTTCCTATTTAGGACGTAAACTTTGAAAACTCAGTGAGATGTTTTGTTATATAAAATTACCATATTAACCTCCAATTGTGTCTTTTATGTATAAAACCACGCTACCCTTTCACAAGTATACACTTGAGACTCTTTTTTAGACAAAAAAGAAATTTTTGTCACATCATAAAAGGAATCAAGCCCATGTAAATTGGGGATTTATAATAGATGATTTATTTTTCAACAATACAAAAAATAAATTGGCTATGAGTCTGTGTCCAATCCCTTGCTAAAAATAGAAAAAGACACTCTGCACCATGCATTCAGTCCCAAAATCACATGGGACTAAAGGTTTGAAAAATATTTATCTAGTATTTCTCAAACCTAAAAATAAATTATGATATTACATAATGACTATTTGACCAGTACCATGTTGTCATCATCAACTTTATAAAGAGTTTCAAAGCCAATAGTAAACTGTTCTGATTTTTATAGTCTTTTTATGAAGAAGCAAATTAGTTACTATTCTTTGAATGGTAAAGAATGAATATATCTCCCACATTGGTAACAAACAAAACTAGAATATAAATATTGGTCCCTTACATCTAGAAATGATAGAAGTTTTAGTTTAGATATTCACAAGAGAGAGATATTAATTATGTAGAGAGAGTTTTCCTTTAATTTACATTTTTAATAATGATATGGGGAAAACATTAAATTTATTATGGCTATCGGGGGAAAACCTTGTGTACTAATGGCATTCACAGGTTATAAAATCACCTGAATACATTTCATATTTAACGCTTTATCAAAAGCCCAAGTTCCTCTCTCTCTCTCTCTCTCTCTCTCTCTCTCTCTCTCTCTCTCTCTCTCTCTCTCTCTCTCTCTCTCTCTCTCGCTCGCTCGCTCTCTTTCTATCTATCTATCTATCTTTTCATTTTTCTATCTCCCTCCGTCTCCATCAGTCCCTCTCTCTCTCTCTCTCTCTCTCTCTCGCTCGCTCTCTTTCTATCTATCTATCTATCCATCTTTTCATTTTTCTATCTCCCTCCGTCTCCATCAGTCCCTCTCTCTCTCTCTCTCTCGCTCTCTTTCTATCTATCTATCTATCTTTTCATTTTTCTATCTATCTCCCTCCGTCTCCATCAATCCCTCTCTCTCTCCCTCTCCATCTACTTCCTCCTCCGGCCATCCGTCTTTGTTCTGCAGTATTTCCCATCCTCGCGTAGTTGGGGGCTCGTTTCCGATTCAAAGCGAGGTCACTTTTGCGCTCTCCTAGTGCTTCTTCGACAAAAGTGAGTGGTTCTCCGAAGTTGGGAGGCCCTTGCTTGGTGGAAGATCCTTCCAGCCTGCAACAACAAACAGCAGACCATTTCCCTGCTTGACTGTCTGTTCTTCACATTCCACTATTGCGACCGACATCTTCCTAGTCTAGGATGGCTACGTCACCCTCTTCACGTCCAAGATTACGGTCAAATCTACGATGCCCAGATGAAAGAAAACAGCCCTGACTCCGTCTCGGTCAGCGTAGAACCGACGGAATCACGTGGAAGCAGCGTGGACTAGAAGTCTTGAAGAATAAGAATGGAAGTCTTATTGCTTACTTTGACAGTCGTAGGAGGCGTTACAGATGAGAGTTCGTCTGTACACAACGAAAGAAAATCCTCCCGCTCAAGGAAACGGCGTGAGATGGAACGAAAGAATAAGTGAACAATGCAACGAATGGGTTAGGCGAAGAAGGGAGATAAAGAAGAATGAGAGCTCAACGGAGGAGAGAGAAACAGCCTCCTCCGCCGCCGCTTTCTCTCTCTCTCTCCCTCTGTCTCCTATTCACAAGGCGGCGAACTCTCGGGGGGCGAGCAGGGACTTGTAGACCTCGATGAGGATCCTGGTGTCGAAGTCGATGCGGGGCGGCGCCGCCGGGCGGCCCTTGGGAACCCTCTTGGACCAGAGTCCCTCCCGCGCGGCGAAGCCCGACATGCGGCCGCCCTTCCCGGCCATCGCCAGCATGGCGCTGATGTACGAGTCCTTGGCTCGGACCAGCAGCCTCATGGGGGAGCAGAACCTCAAAATCCGTCGCATCCTCAGCCCCCGCCGGCCACCGGCGGCGCCGCCGTTGCCCAGTTTGTTCTTGCTCCGGCCGCCGCCGAGCTTCGCTACCCTCAGAATCCTCCGCCCCCCCGTCATCTCTCCGTCCTCCAGCCTCTGGTATCTCCTCCCCGACATCATTCTCACGTTCCTGAAGAACTGCACCGGAAAGATCTCCATCTCTCTCTCTCTCTCTCTCTTCCTCTCCTCTCTATCTGTCCACCCGCTCTCCAGAAGGCGGTGCTGGGGGTGGCATGCTATTTATCATGGCTGTCTTCGTTCAAAGTCAACAAGGGTGGTCGCCGGTCTTCGGCAGAACGTGTTGCTGTGGGGTCCACATAAGAATATCTAGCTCTGTCCTCTTAGTCCGGCTAGGATCTCCCCCCCCCCCCGCCCAACAGTCATCCCCGTAGGGTTGACTTATGCGTGGAATCGAAATAGGTGGGCACAGCTGGTCAAGCCCGCCGGAACCTGCCGCGCAATTACCCTTCGTCGCTGGTCAAAAGAGGGAGAAGTCAGCCGTCACGCTGTGGGCGGTGAAGGAATCGTGGCGTTGACGGAAATCCGCTGAGAGTCAGAATTGGCTCCACTCAAAGCTCGGGTCAATCGGTAAGAAGAAAAAGAACACCCCAAATACGAGCCGCCCCAAAGATTTCCAAAAATAGAAATAAAATAAACTTTTCTGAGGAAAGAGGGTGCGCGGTAGGCATAAAATATAAATCAAAAGAACGAGCGACCACCGAAGAATACGACCACTTCTCACAGAAAAGCCTTGCCCGCTCATTAAAATCTCTGAGAGAAAGTAACAAGTACAGCAACTAGCACTTAGCCACCAGCCCACGGGAGAGCTATGGAGATGACGATACATATAGTACAGCAACTCGGCCCAGCAGGCTTGGCAGATCAAGAGGGCACTGCAAGAGAGAGAAACTACCGAGTCAAGAAGATTACCGGGCTGAGTGAGCTCACTAATCTGAGGGACCAGGTTATGGCTTACTGTAAGTGGAGGTGTCTATTTGCTCGGGCAGTTCCTTGATGTCCACTTCGAACCTCTCTTGAACCTATCCGAATTCCATGTGGGGACGAAGATTTCAGCAGCAGTATAAGTGGAGGAGGAGCCAGTGGGGTTTGACTTGGTTGCAGACCTACCTGGTTCAGAACATCAGAGTCAGAGCCAGAGGACACGAATGTGATGGCCAAACCCTTGGTGCCGAATCGACCGGCCCTCCCGACCTGAGAAAGCCCACAGAAGAATGTCGATTAACGTTATTGAAGGGTGCCATTTTGTACAAAGAAAAAAAATAAATCAGATGATGATAGAAGGGAGAACTACTAATTACCCTGTGGAGGTATGTGTCGGCGGAATCTGGCATGTCGTAGTTGATGACAATATTGACGCGTTCAATGTCAATGCCTCTGCCAACCAAGTCAGTGGCGACGAGAATCCTCTTATGCCCTTCCTTGAAGCCCTTGTACTTTGTCAGCCTGCAACCACAGCCAAACCAAGAACAGCTTAGAATGCCGGGGAGCCGCAGGAATCCATTAAAACGGCGATTACAACGCGGTGGTTCCTTCACCTTTCTTCCTGCGACATTCCAGAGTGGATGCAGATCGAAGGAAAATTGCATTCGATGAGTAGCTTGTTGAGCTCCGCAGCTCTGCCGACGCTTTTGACAAAGATAACGACTTGGTTGAAGTCCAGAGCGTCCAGAAGATCATTCAGTTTGCGATTCTTCTCCGCTTCAGTAAGCTTGATGTAGTGCTGATGAGAAAAAGATGCAGTGATTAGTTGGTACTCAGAAGCTCTTAAGGCCCACAGAGGAGGGAAATTCATGGCGAAAGAGGTACCTGAACTAAGCCATGCAATGTCAGCTTTGCCTCATCGTCCACATATATTTCCATTGGCTGAAAGGGAACAATCGTCAGATAAAGAAGATAGGGACTCCCTGAGTTAGACGCTTCCCTGCGTACAGATTGAGGAAGCTACGGGATGACTCGACCCACAGATGGAATATCTATCACCCTCCTTGAACTCCTTTATCCTCTTCTGGGGGATGGGCTCGAGCTGAACATGTTAACCCAGTATAGAAATTGCACACCTATGCTACCCCTCTAGTAGATGACAAGAAGGGAATGGAAGAGCAACAGATGTGGCTTATCTACATCTATTAACCCCACAAAAGAAAGCCCGGGAGATCTTAACCCACTGGTACACACGAAGCTGGCACCGGCAACATCACCACCACCACCACCACCAGCACTGACACAGATGAGCATTGCCTGACAAAAGCACATCGCAGGATGAGTTCTAGGTTGGAGGGGAGATAGCCAAAGAACATTACATCTTGCATGAACTTCTTGCAAACAGGACGGATCTCTTTGCTGAGTGTGGCTGAAAACATCATGACTTGCTTATCATGGGGAGTCATCTTGAAAATTTCTTGTACATCCCTCCGCATGTCTAAAACAATGCCAAAAGAGCCAAATTCAGAAGGAAAAAAAAAAGGCTCACTCTGTATGAAATTTCACAGATGTTGATAAGGCCGAGAAGAAAATAAAAATAAAACATACCGAGCGACTCCAGCATTTTGTCGCATTCATCAAGGATAAAATGCCTCACATTCTTTAATTGAAGGTCCTTGTCTCTACCTAAGGCAAGAATTCGACCAGGAGTCCCCACAACGATATGTGGGCACTCATTCTTGAGTAAATCCTTGTGAGTCTTAATGTTCACTCCTCCGTAAAATACAGCAACTTTTACATCAGGTAAGTATGTGCTGAATCTCTGGAACTCATGACAGATCTGCAATTGAGAGATAGCCATGGTCAACAATGTAGAAAATATATTCAACCAGAAAAAAAATGAAGGATAATCATCAAAAGCTTCTGAAATGAATAGAAAGAAGGAGAGCTGGTGAGACAAGGCCAAGAAGATGAAAAAAATAACCTGGTAAGCCAATTCTCTAGTATGGCAAAGAACGAGTGCTGCTACTTGGCCAGTAACGGGCTCAATTTGCTGCAGAACTGAGAGAACGAAAACTGCAGTCTTCCCCATACCAGATTTTGCTTGGCAGATGACATCCATCCCCAAGATAGCTTGTGGGATGCATTCATGTTGTACTGATGAAGAATCAAACAAATTTTCGAGTGAAGCAACTCTCAGTAAGTAAAAGTACCCATCTGGATTGTCTAGTCCAAATGAAATTCAACTCGCCCTCCAATGTCAGAAATGCAGTAGTAGTAGTAGTAGTATTTTACCTGAACAACCAACTAATTAATTAAAATGACGGCCGTATAGAAGAAATCCAAATCCAAAGAGCAGAAAAAATATATATATATATACTCACAAAATAACTGAAGCTATACTCTCAAATAAGAATAATAAGGTTAAGGTGACAAAATACTTTCACCAGCATGCAACACACAGACTCTCATAATCACAATATTTCTACTATAAAAAACTAATAATAATTCTGGTCTGCAGATATTTTTTCAGTGTACATGAACTAAGTTATTGGAAATGCAATCCAGTAGGCAAAAGGGATGACTAAAAAGCATTCTAGTCAAACATGAAGGAAGCTCTACTTCAAAGACATGTAGTGTAATCAAAAGAAAAATTGTTGCAATATCAGCCGGACCAGACAATGTAACGGAAGGTAGAGCCTGAGTGCGAACCATAAAAGACAGAATTTAATGGACAAACCCATCAGTACCATGAAAATGGCTAAACATCGTACCAGTTTCAACATTATTAACCGCTGCAACACTTATTTTAATAGCGTGCAACTAGGCACTGACAGTTACAACAAGGATGACAAGAAAGTGAACCTTGACTGAGTTAAACCACTGGTAATATATATCATATCAGTTCACCATTATCAAATACATTAACTTGAACGCTAGATAACTTGCAGACAAGCAGCATATAACCATTAATCCACGGTGACAGGGGCATTGATGATAAAAACAGTTAGACTAGATATTGACAAATAAAATCAGAGTGACAAAATTAATTCTCTTTCACAATTTAGGATACATATATAAATAACTAGCTTAGTCTTGCCTTCGGAAGGATGCTCAAATCCAGAGTCTACAATTGCCCGCAGAAGTTCTGGCTTCAAAAGGAAATCTCTGAATCCGGAGCTATGAATGCCAACATAACCCCTGTTCCAAAAAGGAGATAAGATGCTTATGTATTCCAAAAGAAGACTTCGCTTTAACACAATTTAAAGGTACGTTGTAAAAACATGCAAACTAAACCATTTTGTGTACAACAACGAAATATCATACAAACCACATCTAATCATATGCATCATTAAGAAATGTAATATACAATAGAATAAAGTCCCAAGATGTACGGAACTTATCTCTCAAATTGTAAGCATGACAGAACAGATCGAATTGCTACTAAATTTCGAATTTACGATAAAATTATGCATGGAATAAAGATACGACCCACACTCGACACTTTAACGTGTTTCTTGCAAAGTAAATCCAGTTTTACCAGGGCAGAACAGCATGTCTTGACTTCATGGTCAATGAAATATAACAGAAAATACCAACATCATCAAACAGCAGTGATGAACAGTAGAAAAGAACTCAAAACAGATTAACGTAAAGAAAAATAAAGTAGTTCAACCATCATTCAAGTTCGAAAGTGTATCATATACATATTAAGCATTCTAAGATGGCAATAAGAAGCTTACAATAACAGATAAATAACAACATGCATCGAATATTGATGGTGACAATTAACAGGATAATATTCTTATCTGTACATCATTAATGTAAAAAACAAAACAATAAGTCATGGAGCAGAGCCTACACATATTCTTACAAAACTAACGAGAAAACTGGCTTTTCAACCAAGCACGATGACCAATCGTGGGAATCAACGGTTCTTCTCATAATAGGTCGAGGCATTTAAACAGATAGTTAAAGAGTCAAATAGAAACCACGGCTTACTTTTTTGCCACTTCACCGGCTCCCTTGGACGCAGCAGGATCAAGAATCTTCTCTTCATCCTCTTCATAGTCAAGCAGCTCCTCCTCGTAGGCATCGTTATCCCTGGCTTCTCCCATTTCACGTGGTACAGATATCACCAAAGTCTCCCCTACACATTAAAAAAAATTCAGAGAAACTGAAAACGCACTAGATGCAATTGTGGCATGAGCTTGCCATAATTTTCAATCTCAGATCTAGTTAATTTTTCAAGAGTTTTAGCCAGAATAAAAAAAGAATCAAGATGCGAAAAAAATGAATGCATGTAATTTTCCACTTAGAAGCAAAATCAATGGGACTATAATATCTAAACCTATAAATATTTATGACTATTTTTTTTTTTTGCAATGTCAAGGAGGGTCGTATTTTCTTCAAGGTATTAACAGAAAGGAAACCAAGAAGAAAGAACGGGCTCAGAAAAATAAATAGGGTTTCCTATAAAAAAGACAAATTAGAAACTCTACTGGACTTAATTGATTTTGCACCAGTATGCGCTCGAACAGTCAAAAAGATTAAAGCAAGATCAATAAGCAACAGATCAAGGGCGGACGTTCCAACCACCATCACCAACAACTTGATTTCGCAGCTGTGGCACTAATAGTAGGAGCTGATCCTTATCTAACATACACACCCCTCCCAACGGAAAAGAGAAGAGAGAACAGTGTGTGGGAAAAAAAAAAAACTAAGTTTGAGTCGTAAAGGGAGTGGAAGAAAGAGACGTGAGGGGAAGCACAGCGGAAGAGGAGAAAAGCTCGATGCAAGTTCCACAAAATAGATACCCCAGTTCCACAAAAGCTCGGGCACTCTTTACACGACGCAGTGCCTTCCCCCCGAATATTCCAGCCTTAAAAAGTGATTCAAGTACAGACCGGGTAAGGCTAACCTTTAAACTGAAAATAAAGGATTCACGGTTCTCCTCCAGTTATGACTGAACCCCTCGGAAGCTTCTTAAGGTCTTCATAACGAAAGGTAACACAGATAGATTGGATCTATCAGCCATTCTAGTAAGTAACGAGCAAAATTTAGGATAGATGCTGTGGTCGACTACGCAAGAAGGAAAAGTAGCCTAGCATTAAACGATCTCCCTGAACTTTCAGAGTAGATCTCCAACACGTCCACCAAACTTTCGACTGCGTACTCTGCCCTAGCATCTCGTATGATTCACTCAAAGCCTTCTACCGTCGCTAAAAAATTGTTAGAAGTCGAAAAAAAAAAGAAACGTTCGCAATACAAGAGAAGCGCATGGAAGCCCAAGTAGATCTGCCGAAAGAAACATCAACTCCCGACGAATTTGCAGCGGAAATAAAGTTCTTGACAGAAATAAAAGCTGCGAAACGAGACCGCGAGCGAGAGGGCTTACCGCTCACAAGATTGAGAAGCTCGGCAACTCGCTGCCGCGGGGAGAGTGAGAGCTGGTGCTTCGGAGACAAGCCCTGAACAACCGCAAAGAATCCCTAGCCACCTGCGAAGAAGAGAGAGAGAGAGAGAGAGAGAGAGAGAGAGAGAGAGGACCAAAACGGAGACTTTATTGAGGATTCTCGTAGAGCCACGACCTTGGTGGGTCACAGCCAACGGGATTTACCACGAAACCCAAATGTCCAGCCTGGCCGGATCATTAGTTCAAAACACATGATAATAGACAAAATATATTTTTAAATATAATAGGGTTAATATAATAGATGCTTTCCAATTTTTCCTTTCTGGTATGTGCAAATTCTTCACCTCGGCACCTTATAAGGGAAAATTAAGCATAATTCATTGGGAAAAGACCATATTGCCTTTCTGGTATTTGGTATAAAGCATAGTGTTACTTAGAGAAGATATGATTCTGATCTTTATAGTAATCAAAGGTATTCATCATGCTAATGGTAAGGGGTATTATTGTATTAAATGGAAGGAAAAAAAATCAATAGAATATGAATTTGGTCGATGAATATTCCTCCTAATTAATAGAAAATATGCAGTAAATACTAAAAAAAAAATTAAGCAATTTCCGCAGATGTAAGGTCAAATACCCTTAAATAATAATTGAATTTACCCCATAAAGGAAAAAACACCATAAATTAGAACTTGGTCCATTTTTTTTGTAAGAGAAAGCAAAAACTTTCTGATGAAAATGGTCGTACCTCAAATCCCCAAATATTCAACACTCATTTTTATTGTTTGACTTTTTCATTATTAAATAATATTTTTTATTGCCCATTATGACAATTTTTTTATATTTTAGTCCCCCACCTATCTATGCTGTGCACCTCGGTTTTTATCAAGAGCTGGTACCCCCTTTAACAGTGCTAATTATGTCCATGCCCTGTTTCTTTATTTGACATATATCCTAATCTTTAAATGCTATTTACTCCCTATCAATCATCCAATGGAATCTCGACATGTGGCATACTGGCCCAGCCTAATATATAAAGAATGAATTATTGAGCCTAGTAAATAATTTTTTATGTGGGATTTCTGGAAAAAGGTTGGGAAATAAAATCGTTCTCGCTGTACAGTCTTTAACGACGGCGGCAATTGCGGTTACTGTTTTGTAGTTCACCGCGAGTGACCGTACTTACCACGACGTCTCCTCTTCCAGTAGGAGGAGCAGCGTCTTCTTGCATTCTTCGTGGAGTCTCTTCTTCTTCTTGTTCTTCTTGTTCTTCGAGGGCCGTCCCAGCTTCCTCTGGCTTCTGCTGCCGGCCCTCGTCGTCTCTCCTTCCCTTGCGATTGACGACGGCTCCGCTTTTCCGAGCTCCGGTGGGTCGGCGTTCCCGGGGATCTCCGTCATCTTTTTCAGGAGGCGAGGTCGCTTTCAGCGCCGTCGGCTCAGTCATCTTCTTCTTCTTTTCTCAAAAAAAGAGGTAAACCCTTGTTCCTCTGCTGTCGCATCGCGGGTGTTCCTCAACTTGGACGTCGTGGTCCCTCCGTTGCTACCCGGACGGAGTTGCTGGGTCTCGATCATCTCGTCCATCTACGGAGAGGATCGGGACGGGGATGGGAGATCATCTGGAGAGGTTGGGATCCGACGGGATGGAAGCATGCTCGAAGGGGGGGACCGAGCTGCTCATGGAGATCGAAGCGCCGCCGTTCCGCGAAGGCGCGGCGACGGCAGAAGATTGGCGGAAGGCGCTGGCTAAGGTTGTTCCGGCGGTAGTCGTCCTGCGTACAGCGGCCACCCGGGCCTTTGATACCGAGGCTGCAGGCGCCGGCTACGCTACCGGGTTCATCGTGGACCGCACTCGTGGGATAATCCTGACAAATCGTCACGTTGTCAAGCCCGGTATTGTTCACGCTTTTCCCTGCCCGTCTTCCAAATTCTCAGACTAGGAATTCGTTTGGTACGCTTCCTGATTACCATGGCATTTTTTTCCGCGCCTCTGTAGGGCCTGTAGTTGCTGAGGCAATGTTTGTTAACCGAGAAGAGATTCCGGTGTATCCTGTGTATAGGGATCCGGTGAGTTGTTGGCCCCGCAAATTTCTCAATTTCGATTTCAATTTTTTTGTCATAGTTGAACGAATGTATTCTTTTCTAAGTAGAAGTCGGGTATTATTTCCATTATTTTATTTTTTAATTGACTATGCATTCCGTATTCTAGTGTTAAATATTGTATTTGGCTTTTATAAAGCATAAATTCAACTCATTTACTCAGTGACGAGGAAAAATGCCTGTTGACCTTCTGGTTAGCCTCTATTTGCTAAGTTCATCATCCCTTTCCCTTAAGGTGATGAACGAGAACATTCAATTATTTTAAGGCCACTTCCTGGTCAAAGTTTCCTGTGCGAATGTTTCTGGAATTGGCTCTGCTCTTAAGTTCTCCCAATAATTGATTAATAATTGAATTTATCCCTGTTGATATTTACACCTGTCGCTTGAATGAGTCTTTTCCTCTGATTTGCACCATCACCTGATTCTTTCAAAACATAAAACAATTCTCGGTTGGACTGCTTTAAGAGAGCCTTCTTAGTCATTATGGTAAACATAAGTCCAAGTCAATGTGTTAAATTTCATTGTTCTTCACCTTCTTGCATCATGCTTCCTATTTTAATTTTTTTTTGCACTCGATTGCAAATTCTCATTGCATGATCATGACCTTTGAAAGCATGCAAAAAGTCAATAAACATATAATGAGGCACGGTGTTTATGAAATTTTCTTATGTTGATCAGATTTAGTGATTGGTCATTCAAATCACTTTGTGTTAAATTTCATCGTTCTTCACCTTCTTTAATCATGTTTCATATTTTCATTTTTTTTCTGTGCGCTTGATTGCAAATTCTCATTGCATGATCATGACCTTTGAAATCATGCAAAAAGTCAATTAACATATACTGAGGCATGGTGTTTGTGAAATATTCTTATGTTGAACAGATTTAGTGGTTGGTTCTTCAAATCACTTTGGGTTAAATTTCATTGTTCTTTGCCTTCTTGCGTCGTGTTTCATATTTTTATTTTTTTCTGTCCACTCGATTGCAAATTCTCATTACATGAACATGACCTTTGAAATCATGCAAAAAGCCAATAGACATATAATGAGGCACGGTGTTTGTGAAATTTGGTAATCAGATTTAGTGATTGGTCCTTCAAATCACTTTATGTTAAATTTGGCTTGAGAGCCCTCTATGATCAAGAAAATAGCAACGCCCCAATCGCATGAAGATGTAGTATTGTTAGAAATGCATGGTTCATGACCTTTGGTTATCTCTGTGTCATCAAGCTATTTGGGATGCTGGCACATTCTGTAGAAAAGAGTTTCTCCTCACTTAGTCTCAGGTTCAACTTTTGGTAATTTTTGGGCGCAAAACGACTTAGTCTCAGGTTCTCAGATTCAGCTATAAACGAGTTTTAAAACTAATGATAATTCTTGGAATTTGTGTCTTTTAAGGATCCGTAGATTTTGGTAGGCCATGTTCTTTGAGCTTTAGTCTTTTGAACGATTAGATTGACATTGTTTCCACCTCTGACTTCATTCTCAACTTGCATATTCATTGATGTTTGCTTGTATATGTTTTACTCACCATTTTATGACGGATGTTCTTAATTTCTTGTGGTACTTTGTGGGGAAATACGTTTATCATATTTGCTTTTGGTATCACCTAAATCGAAATCCTCTGTATTTGGTTTCCTGATTGCTTCATTATTCCTTCATGTATGGATGCTCATATTTTACTCACCATTAGAAAATGTTTTTATTTTCCTCTGCTGCTTTGTGGTGTTATGCTTGTCACAATGTCCTTCCCTTGTCCCTTTTGGAAGCTAGTCTTCATTTTATTGATATCAGCGATACTTTATATGCACTATTAGGTTCATGATTTTGGCTTCTTTCGTTATGACCCGGAAGCAATCAAATTTCTGAGTTATGAGGAAATTCCACTTGCTCCTGAAGCTGCATGTGTTGGACTGGAAATTCGAGTAGTTGGCAATGATAGTGGTGAAAAGGTACATTCATCTCCACATGTAGTCCTATGTTCAATTTTCATGTGAAGTCTTCTTTGTGGATGGATTTTATTGTGATCAAATATGAGACAATTTTTGTTACTAGTTGTTCATGCAAAGATTAAACTTACTGAAGATTTTATGAAAAGTTACACTAGCTTTAGTGTTTGATTTGCACCTAGTTATTATGTTTCTTGATCTGTTGTACATATTGGGCTAACGTAAATTGCAAGAAGATTTAAAAATAAATTTCTGCTGGATTTTGAATGCCTGATATGTTATTGAGCAAGAGAACAACTATCGGTGAAACTTAATGGCTTATGTAATATCATACGTCAATATTAACAACATTTCCATGGATGACTTCTTATATGTATTTATGCTCAGAAATCAAGAGAATATGATATCTATGAAAAATTTGAGAAGATACGTCCTAAAAGGATCAACCCTCTTTACAACCTTTGTAATTTCTAGTGCTTGTAATAGAGTTAGAGAATGGGCTATGGCATGTTGTGTGTTGCTGGAGTAGAGATGCATTCCTTATATCAGGGGCTGAATGTCAAATCTAGGCCTTGTCACTTTGGTGCAGACTACATTATTCTTTATATGGAGGGTTTTTTCAGAGCTCATCTAAAATATGCATGTACCTGTTTTTCTATTCAGCTTCCTTTGCGAGAGTAGTAGTAGTGTTGATCGGTATGAATCATAGTGGTCACAGGATTCTTGGTTTTCTAGTCTCTATGATTGTATTCATCCCATGAAATACCATCATGGGAGAGGTTTGGTCCTAAGGCTGGATTTTGAGAATGCTAATAATCGAGTGAAAGATGGATATATGTTTTGAAATAGGTTTTTACATTCTCTCTTTGCTTATATATTGAAAATGTGGTGCCATACTCGTTCTAGAAAAGGATTTCAAATGAATGTGCCACATCATCTACTGTTAAAAACCTCTCTTTATAACATAATTGTAACAATGATCACTAAAGGCACATAAAGCATGTGCTCACATAAAGCATGTTTTAGCTTTGTTGTAACAGTTGTTATCCGTACCTGGTTGCTTGTATGACTTTTTTAGTGTAGTGACTTGCATTTTATGTATCTTTAAATTGCATCGCTGATAAAAGAGCAAGTAATTGGTATATCATAATGGAACTAAAGGAGCATCTCTCCTTGAATTTAATTGCACTCTTAATACAGCTGAATGATCTGAATAATCACCTAAGGACTATCACTTATTTACATTTATAGGCTGCCATATAAATTTGTCATGGTGTCTTAATAACCGTGTATGGTTTGCCATCAAAAGTGAGTGGACAGAAATTCGAAAGTAGTCATTGGTTAAAATCGAAGTCGACAATAATATGGGTCATCTGTCCTTCATTTGTTTTACAGCGTTTTTTGTTCACATTAATGACTTTTGAATCTTTGATCCTATATCAGAGTCTTAAGTTACAGTTGATTCTCGAGTCCTCTAAATTTTCATTGAGTCTTTATGTCATGAACGCTTTTAGTTTTATTGTTACAAACTCATTTGCTTTGATTTCATCTATTAGTTACTCAATTTTGGTCGAATGGATCTTTGTTGATTTCTGTAATTACGAATGTGCAGGTGTCAATATTAGCAGGCACCCTTGCTCGGTTGGACAGGGATGCTCCTCATTACAAAAAGTACATATTTTCTTCTTTACGCTTGTCTCTGCAAACATGAAATTTAGGTCTTAAGTCATGCTCGAGTTTGGAAAGTGACCAGTAATAACATGCGAAAATGTGTGAATACAACCGGTCATCTTGAATGGAAGCCTTTGTTTACTTTTAACATTACCAAGAGAACTAGTCTAAGAGCCTTCATATGAATATGGAATCAAGCCAGACTCAGTTGGATGGACAAAAAAAAAATCGGTTTGATTTGAAACTTTGTTTGGTGGTCACTGGACCAAAAGGTCTGATGTGAACCTTGAATAGAATTGTCAATCCCAATGCTATGGGTTCAAAAGACCACGGGTGGAATTTACTTTTTGCTGTGGAAGTCGAATGCTTATGAGGCTCAATGACCTTGTGTGGACTTGGTGTTTAGTACTCAAAGGTCAAGGCAGCCTGGTTGCTATCCTTGTAGATACTTTTCTTCACTTCCATCTTTCCTTTCCTTGGACACTAATGCAAAAGCTAGTCCCTCTTTCTGATGGAGGAATAATAGCACAAGCTGATTTATTTCGCCATGAACTTTGGTCGCCATCTCTGTTGGTTATGTTTCCACCTCTTGCGATTGTTGCTCACCATCTGATGGGAACCTAGTGTCAAATGCTGCACCTGTTTCTGTCAAGTAGGATGAGTATTGTATTGTCTTCTGAGCTACGTCATAGTAACAGGGAAAGCTCTATGATTTGGTCAGTTTTTTGGCTGGAAAATCAGTTCATAAATCCAGTTAATGACTGGTGACTGGCATGTTCTTAAGTCATCACAATAGCATCAAGAATGTTTTACCTTTTGTAGTATGAGGATGGAGTAAACCCGCAGGCCACTTGGGAAAATAGCCCCCTTAACTGAAAACCAATCAGTAATATGTGTAGAACTTGCCGGATTTTCTCTTCCTTGTGTAATACGATTTCCCCAAGTGCAAGAAAACTTTGAATTGGCATTTCATTAGCGTATGCAATGTTGTAGTCATTGAGAGCATCTTGTATGCCATGTTACCACCTGTTTTGAATTTATTGGCCTGCGGATAAGGTGCCCAATTATAGAATTAGAATAGATAGTCCGACAAATCACTTATCCATTACTTATTTTATCTGATAATGGTATCTGTAGTTGTAATCCTAAGATTGTAGCTAACTGAACTACTACCTGTGAGTTGAGATTGGACTCAAAAGACAAACCGTATACAGTCTTAAATATTATTTAAAGGTGCAAAATCCACCATTCATGAGTATTAATATATGGAAGATGTTGATGTAAGTTGCTTCTATTTTTATTTTTATCGAAATTTTTTTATACCATTATCTTTCACGCTTACCACATGTAAGGGGTCATCTGTAACCTTTTCACCATAAACTTTTTTATTTTTATCTACACTGCGGCTTACCCAGGAAGTGGTTAGTTTTTTTGGGTATTCCATCTAGACACCCCACAACAAAACCAATCCAAACATATGCATACCCAGCGACGAAAAAAGCCAAATGAATATTCACTGTATTTTCATTGGATTTATGGGTATATTATTTCCTAATTGCATGTTTGTCTTTATGATTTCACTGACATTCGTTTTCCATATTTACGATATAGGGATGGATACAATGACTTCAACACATTCTACATGCAGGTAATTCTTTCACCAATCCTTGTGGCTTTTAATCATGAGATTTATGGCTCTTGTGTATCTTGATTCTCTTTACATTCTTTACATTCCCTTGTGGTAGATAATATGACAGAAAGGATGTCACTACCACAAATTAGTCGGATAATATCACCTGATATTCCTTTACAGCACTGCTAAAGTACATTATTTTTAATGAAATTTTTTGATGGCCATCATAGATCAGTGTTTTTTCCAGCTAACGTTTACCAATATTTGATGATCTAGGACTGGGGCTAGTCAACTTATAATATTTAAAATCTGAAAGTACATTTGATTGCCTCTATTCTAAATTTGGAGCTTTGATGGAGTATATTAAGGATGGAGATAGTCAAAAGGAAAACCTTAAAGATGTCTCCAACAAACAGTGGGACACTGTAAAAGATTGTCTTCATTTTCGTTCTTCATATCTGATGCATCTTGAGATTACTGCAGAGCTGACTGGTTATTGGCTTTTTAACAACTGTTTGATGACGGGTTCCTAGTTTCTCCACTGATTGCTTAATTTAGAGGCTGACATGAGATCAGCTAGGGGATTCTGCCAAGTAAGACAGAATGGAGGTCCTGGATTATTCCATATCTGAGATGGTAGTATCGTCTTACTCATTAAGTGGATAGACATTGGAGACAAGAGGAAGGAAACTTATTGCTGGAAATTATTGAGCAAAAACTGTAGAAGAGAAAGGCCACGGGCCAAAGGAGAGTATCAAACGGTGATCGAGTTCTTAGCTTAATCATTATCGGGGACTTGAATATTTCATTATTCATTATCCGGGCTTAAAAAATTCCAGTTGTATATATTTTTTTTTTTCTACTGCGACAGTGATGCTGATATTTTCTGGAAATGCTAATGGGGGTATTGTTGAGGACCCATCCATTGCATAGGTGAATGACCTCACTTCTGAGGCAACTTCTATAGTTCTTTTTTTAAGTTGTTTATCAAAGGTGATTTTGTTTTTTAAAAAATTATTCGAGACCAACAGATTGTCTCATAAAAGGGTGCTTTCTGGTGATTCATGTACTATAATGCAAAAATTGTGGCTGTAGCACTTGATAATTAACATCTTACAGGATGATATTCGAAGTCAAGACTCAAAATAGTGTCCATTTTGTTTGTACAACAGACAGGAAATTTTCATCTGGGAAGGGTTATATTTCCATCTAATATCTTATCAACAAACGTTTCAAGATGCCTATGCGGACAAGTGCCGCTTTTGTACAACAGACAGGAAATTAATGTGTAGCCAAACTAATGAGGCTGAACAGTTTTTACTTTGAGTATGGCTCATTGTATATAAAGGCTTGGGATTTCTACCTAAACTGAGCACACAATAAACGGGGGCTTTCTCATCAATTTCAGCTACAATGTTTTTGATGAGCATTGTGCTGGTCTTTTCTTATTATGATGATTATCATTCTTGTTGCAGGCTGCTTCTGGAACAAAAGGTGGATCAAGCGGTTCTCCAGTTATTGATTGCCAAGGAAGGGCTGTTGCCTTGAATGCTGGGAGGAAATCTTCTAGTGCTTCTGCCTTTTTCCTTCCCTTGGAACGAGTTAGTCTATGTTCTGTTGTTGCAATTTAATCAAAGTTATATATATTTTTACAACTTGTCTGTTTCAAGTTTCATGTCACATATCTGGAATGTCCTTTGGCTGTCTGCAATCTATCGTCAAGTTAATTTTTACCTGTGTACTCTTTCAATAAGTGCCACAAACGTATTCTTATGCTTGACCTTGGATTTCTTTTTTTATCAACTTAGGATAATGATACTCCAAATACCAAGAATCGCAGTTCCTTTAATAGTTTTAAAACCAGGACTAGGATTCTTGTTTTCTTCTTTTTGTTTTCACAGCAGATTTTAACTTTTTCCTTTTCTTTTGTCTAGATTCTTGATTCTTGATTTTTTAAAATTTTCAATTACCTGCTAACTTTTGGTTCTGTTAGTCATTACAATCATCACCAATATTTCTTCTCTCTGCAAAGGCTGATAGTAATAACTTTACTTTATAAGGTCCATACTGCTACCTGAGTCAGGTATGCCTTTGACTTGATTTGAGTCCAACCAGTAGTACACAATAATTTTGTTTCATTAAATTAGCGATGCATTGTGCAAAAGCTTCTATGTCGATTTTCACCGATAAAGAGATCCAACTATTTTTACGGTATCCCTGGCCTTAATATCATTGTCTTTTCCTTCGTTTTTTGGTGCCGTATTTGGTTTCGCTGATAGAGTGCTGAATGTTTTTCGATTGATGGGAATATTGAAATTTTCAGAATATAATTTAAACTATTGAAATGTGTTTTTACTGGATGAGTTTCTCACTGGTTTTCAGTTTTCATGTAATTAGTAATTGAATTCAGTTGTTGACTTTACACATCCACTAACTTTGACTGTGTGGATGGTAGGTAGTAAGGGCTTTGAACTTCATACAAAAGAGTTGGGATTCATTTTCAAGTATCTGGGCTACTGCTAATATCCCTCGTGGTACGCTTCAGGTTTGTTGCTTCTTAATCATGTTGATTCCTATTTCTCTCGCTTCAACACTCATGAAGGTGTAACTTTTTGCAGGTATATGATGATATATGTTTCTATGAACTAGAGTAAAAGAAATTTTTAGATAGGAACTTTTTGATGAACTAATCTCCTTACACAGCCTGTCTCACAATTACTTGCCTAGTAGCTAGCTCAGAGAGAAGGTTTTGCCAGTGATAGGTCCTAGTGAGCTCTTTCTGCCTTTTTTACAATCTATTTGTTTCTTTTTCTGTCATTTGGCAGTGCTATCTATTATTTTGAAGGCATCGCCGGCACTATGTTTGACAATATTCATATTCGTGTAACCCCCTTCACACGCACCCCGAGGTCATGGAGTTCATACAATGGTTACAGGACATTATGACTGAACCAGATTAATGACGCTGTAGCCATCAAATAAATGATAAGCAAATCCGATGGACAATGGCTTATTTTGATACAGATGTCATTTTATTTTTGTTTTAATCTGGTAATCAGGATCTCTTTCCTGAATTTTCATTTGAAACGGTTAAATTCGTACTCAATTAACTGATTATGCATAGGACAATCAGTTGGTTGGTTTTATTGTTAACATCCATCTTCAGAGAGGAAAACATGCGAATGATAAGCCGTTTATGGGAGCAGTACCTTGAATTGACTTCTCATTTGTTATTTGTCTTGTTTTTGAGGTAGGTAAATTGCTGACTACCTTTTCTTTTACTAGTTATCGCTTGATTCCGGTTAGTCTTCTTGGACATACCGTCCTCATTGGTGACGCCCTTAGAAGTGATAATTTTTCCAGGCTCACCATCCTCTTTCTTTCAGTAATAATCCAAATACAATAAATGTTTATGCCAGCCATTTCGTTTCTAATGTTTGCTGTTGATTGTTTTTCATTCGCCCAGAACTAAAATTAAATTATTCTGTTCCCAAGTTCCTTTACCTAGTTTTTATTGTTATTTTTCTAAGATAAAGACATAATATTGTGCCGAAATGAAAGGATTTGGGAGCAAAGCTTGTTACATTATAGTGAGCATCTATAAGCTTGTTAGACTCAAATCTGTCTGTTAACCAATGGACGAACTATAAGTTCTAACAAAAGCAAATTGGCGGTCAATGGTGCTGTTAGCCAGTGACTGTTTGAGAATGAGCTAGAAGGTGTTGGGATATTATTGAGTGTTGATTGAATGAGTTATCATTCAGGAAGATATTTGTGCAAAGGTATTTGAAATTTCAATTCTAAATTTCGAGATTGGGAGTGGAATGGGGATGTTACATTCCATTCCCACTATTGATTCCTGGGTTTTTTTGGACTAAAATGAAATGACCTTTGGAGGAAGACATTTGGATGGAAAAACATACATCATAAAGGTCTGGTAGTATCTAATTCAATGAAGATGAGAAAAATGGTAAAATTGCAGTCTTTAATTTTTAGACTCTTTTTTTTTTGTTCCCTAAATGGTACATCATTTCATGTGTATCTGAGGTGCATGGTTTTGACCGGAATTGGGTGGTAGTTGTCGCTGGGGAAATGTCTGGGAATCCTTCTTAATGTAGGATTCGTAGGAGTGAGTCTTCCAGGTCAGGAGGCGCATTGAGGGGAATAATTATCATGATATTCACCCTCTCTTTCTCGATAGAAAGGCAGGGTTCCTCTATTAATTTTCGAATGGTGTTTTAAGCCTCGTGATTTTTATCGCTAGTACTACACTTTTGCTTATTTGGGGAGTTGAGGAGAACAAATCAGAACTGTTGGTTGGAAAAAGGTTTTCATTAATAATTTCAGGAATAACTTCTAGATTTTCTGTCATGTTTTCCTGAATTCGTTCTTTCACTGGTTGGTTTTACTAAATCTTGAAATTCCGTCCTGCTTTCCAAATGCCAGGTGACATTTCTGCATGAAGGATTTGATGAAACTCGTCGCCTTGGACTTAAATGTGAAACTGAACAGGTAGCACTCTCTCACAATCTTAGTCACATCCATGCTACATGTACTTCTGTTATGTTTGTGTGAACAGTGATTTTTTGTCAGTTGCATCAACTTTAATGATTTCTTTTCAATTATCCTCCTGGAGCCATGAATCTTTTTCTTTAATAGTTGGTAAGGAATGCTTGCCCTTCTGTCGAGACTGGAATGCTTGTTGTTGATTCTGTGGTGAGTTAATCTGCATTTTTGCCTGTTATTTATGACACTGTGCCGACCATCTATTCTCTGACAGCTTGCATCTTTTCCAGGTGCCCGGTGGTCCTGCACATAAGAATTTGGAGCCGGGTGATGTGCTTGTCCGTGTAAATAAGGACGTAAGTTTTATGTTTTTTCGATGTATCTTTCTTTACTTGGACGAAGGAAATGCTTGATTTTTTCCCCTTTTTGGATCCCATTTATTGCTTGTATTTAGGGCTTGTGAAATTAAATTAAGTGCATTGACCATCTGAGCCTGATCTAGATTTGAATTAGATGTAAAGGTTGATTGAGCCTAGAAATAAATAAAATAAGTATACTTTTATAAAGAAAATTGGTAGAAGGGGTTCAAGTATTTAATCTCGAACTCTTGATTTGATTAGGAACAAATTGTCTCGTCTCTCTCCTTATTACCTAAATCACTTTTGACAAAATGCAATATTTTCATGCTTGTTGCTAAATTTGATCAATAAACCGTCCTACATTTTATACTAGTCTTTTGTGTTTTTCCTTCCTAGTTCATTTGCGATATGATATGACCCTGCTTGTCTATTGCATATATATTGCCTATTTTTTGTTCTAGATTCGTTCTGGCACGTCTTTTTTCCTAATTTATTGCTTGTCAATTTTTTCTCTCCTGTCAACTCTGTACCTTGTAGATATTTCTAATATAGCTCTGTTCGGGTTTTCAGGATTATTGTATTTTTATCTTATTATTTGGGTTGTGATGGCGCTATTTTGTATCATTTGAGTAACTGGCGTAATAACCAAATATTGCACACCACCCCTTGAAGTGGAGTATGTTAGCGGCCACCGCATATGTCTATGGCATAGTCTGGTTGCTAACATGTCAATTGATCACGACTTTTCATTAGATATCTATGTCTCACTATCTGATATTTTTTTTCAGGTTGTAACACAATTCCTTAGACTGGAAACAATACTGGACGACAGCGTTCATGGGGAGGTAGAATTGGAGATTGAAAGAGGTGGAACTCCGATGAAAATAAAATTGATGGTAAAGTCGAGCCTTTTTATTCAGCTAATATTTCTTCTTTCTACTTATTTTTTTATGACACTTCTCTTTCGTGAGAAGGGCTTTGACTATATTCTGAAGTCAGAAAGCCTTGTTCTGACGAGCAGTAATGCATTTCCTTGTAGGTTCAAGATCTGCATTCAATAACCCCAGATTATTTTTTGGAAATGAGCGGTGCTGTAATCCATCCTCTTTCATATCAGCAGGTAAGTAGTTAAGTTTAATGTTCCAATTTATTTTTTTAAGCAAAATTTATTGTATTTCTTAAATATGCCTTAAATTATCACGAGTTTACTTAAATATGCACTCAACTGCAGTCGAAATCAATGATTATATTTCTAACTTTCTACTGGTTTGATTTCTGTGTATCGGGTTAAATGGTTAGAGAGGATGTCTAATGACTAGAAAAATCATTTTCATTGATACTCTTGGATCTATGGTTGTTTTTGATAGCATAAATCTTGCAGTACAATTATAGTGTTTTTTTACTTTTGGCTTACCACCGGTTCCATGGTTGGTACCAGTTTAATATTAGAGAGAATGGGGAGTATCCTTGCAACTATTAGATCAAGGCTAATCTAAACAGACCAATTCTTTCCTTCAGCTAAACAGATTTCCTTGTTGGAAAGGGAAATCATGTTTTCTGAAAGTGCCCCGAGCACTCCCTTGTGCTTCTGATATTCTTTGAGGATGGTACACGTATGACAGTTATATCACACTAGGATCTTCGTCATGCAATGCCATCAGCAGTACCTGAGACCCTCCATAGGGGTGTCCAGCTTCCATCTTGAACCCTGTTTGAAAGGTTACAATGCCTGAAGGGCCAGGTTTAGCCACGCCAGAGTCATCATATTGCTCTTGCCAAGCCACTTCCTCAGATTCCTTCATGTCTTCTCTCTGCAAGTTTGTTCCATTAGGCGCGTGCAGGAGCTCTGATGTTGAGGGATATGGACTGTAGAGCTAGTATAAGGTCTTCACCGTCATTGGGTTCTTTTTCAAGCTTAACAGTTTAACTGACCAGTTTTGGGTTTAGCTTACTGCCGCTTCCAAGTTTAGTGTCACCCAGATCACTCATGCCTTAACAGGTTAAGTAGATACGCAAGGGCCTGATTAACTGCTTTGAAGTTAATCATCTCCCTTTTTTTCTGAAGTTTCCACTTACCATTGCTTATGGGGAACTCTGTTGTCATGCAAACTGATGACTGATGGATTTTTTATTGATCGTCAATGCACTACTATTTTTTGATTTGGTCACCTGTCACTGTATTGTATTTGTGTGAAACTTTGGTTATTTTTTTCAGTAGTTTGTACATTTGTTACTATAGGCAATTTATTGAAGTATCAAATTAATTTTCAGGCAAGAAATTTTCGATTTACCTGTGGACTCGTGTACGTGACAGAACCAGGGTTAGTATCTTGTCATTAATTTGTTCTCTAGAATCCTGTGTTTTCCATTGGCCATCTTGGCTTATGCGTTTTTAATGTTTCATGTAAGTTTTCATTGCCTTTAATGTTTCATCTTGGCATTTTTCCGTGCATGGAGTTTTAACTGAACTGGGAATACGTCAGATGGTAGTAAATGGCATGCATTTTTTAAGACCTTTTTTAGGTAATGATGTTTACATCTATATTGACATTTTCTTAGCTGTATTTTATTAACGGAGTAAAATAATTGACACATAGAAAAGGAGGTGCAAGAAGATATGTGATGGTCCCAACTAGGAATCCTTGCGTAAAATTACAGCCAAAAGAGAGTGCAGGGGTTGATTCATCATAAATTTTGAGTTGTTATGCCATCTCCCTTAGAAAACTTTGTGTGTGACATCAGTTTAGTTGATACAGGACATTCGAATATGAGTTTCCTAGCATTGTTTGCTAACATGCTCTTACTTATTTTCCAAAATTACATAAGTATCGTATTATATTCTAACTGTCCTCGTCAGTCCAAGCGTATGTTCGGTATGTTTGGGTTGAGTATTTGACTCCTGCTGTCTCTCGTAGTTTTAGGTCAAGAAATGGTTTCATTTGCTTAGTATATGATTGTAGATCATCATATTTATTAACAACTGAAGTTAAACGGCTTTAGTGTTAAGGTCTTCTGGAGCGAGGATCATTCATAAAATCCCTCATGCTACGTTGTTTATTTTGGTTATTTAATCTGAAACGCTTTGTCCGTCATTCTGATGTGTTGTGAAAATCCGAGTCTACGTTAGGCAGGATGTGTTTATTACATATTTTCTTCTCCAGAGGACACTTTTTTGAACTTTTATTTTTATCACTTTAAAATGTGTTGTCTTTTCTAAAATTGGAGTTACTTGTAGGGTGAGGTGTTTTTAATACTATACAAAACGGTCTGTATTGCCGGTTCCAGGTATATGCTTTCCAGAGCTGGCGTCCCACGCCATGCAATAATAAAGAAATTTGCTGGAGAAAGCATATCGAAACTGGAGGATCTTCTTTCTGTCCTTGCAAAGCTCTCTAAAGGAGCTCGTGTTCCTTTAGAATATGTTAGCTACACGGATCGCCATCGTAACAAGGTCTTGAATGTTTTGATATGCATTCTACTTTTTCCATTGTTTGGTCTCGTCTTTATTTTGACTAAATTTCGTCAGTTCTTATTAACTAAGTTTTTCATGCGAACAGTATGTGTACAATGTACTTCTTCTGGATTTGAGATATTTTCTTCCATTATAATCTAACATATTGAAGCCCAGGTGGCATTTTCTTCTTTCTACTATTACATTTTGCTGATGGATAATAAAGGGAGGGTACTCATCTGGAGGGCAAGTTGGATTGGTCAAGTTTGAACATTTTAACGCGGTGATGAAGCCTTGTAGAGGATAGTGTTGTAGGCGAGAATTATAGGGTATGGTAATTTGGAAAAGCGCTGAGAGAGGAAGGTTTTGTACTCATATTTTCATTCTTTCATTTAGATAATGGTGGATCTTTGAGATTTTGTCTAGATCCATGTTGTCTATCTGTTAATTTTAGAAAAGCAATCTGCCCCAGTTTACCAGCTGTTTGAGGACCAGGAAAAAATTATCATGTGACATCATCTTCTTACAATCATGAAAACATTGTACTACATATTAGGAACAGACTCTAATCATTTATAGGGACACCTTCACAAAGAAAAGAATAACTAAGCTTTAATTATAGAAAATAAAACCTCGGTTTAGATTGGGAATGTTTAGTAGTTGAAATTAAAGGTAGCACATGGATAAAGACAATGCGTTTTATAATCTGTTTGTCTTACGAGAAGTTTGAAATAAACAATATGTGATGGACCATTTCGTTTTATTAAAAAGATAAATGCACGACCCTAACGGATAACTGAACCAGGAAAACAAAAACTAGAAATCGAAAGGCTAAGCATCAAATATTCGGGTAATATTTATTTACTTGTCTGACTCTGATTTGAGGGAATACTGGAAGACAAATAGGAAATTTTCTGAATGGATACTACAAAAGGACTTGGCTGACATTGTACCCCAACAGCCGTTTCATTTTCTTTCTTTAAGTCTGTACACACTCTCGTTAGCCTTTTTCAAACAAAAAAGGGATGTGCCATTAAAGTTGATGTGGTAAATTTTTTGAGAAAGAGGAAAATGTGATAAACAACTAGATACTCTGATCTTCTTTCATTGGAAAAAGCCTTTAATTGTTCCCACAGGGGAACCCGAAATTCACAGCATTTCTGTTAGTGCTTGTGTGGAAAAATAGTATTTTCAGAGACATAATACGGCTATAATTGCGGCCTAAAGTTTACCATGTTTTCGTAATCATAACAGTTTAATATTTCGTTATGTTTATGTGTCTTCCCTATTTTATTTTGAGTGACATTACTGATAAAAAAATGATGTACGGTGAGTTCCTTCTCAAACAGTTCATTTTTTCCTTTGATTGCAGTCAGTCCTTGTGACAATTGATCGGCATGAATGGTATGCGCCTCCCCTGATTTATACTCGTAACGACCGTACAGGTTCCTGGTCAGTTCAACCAGCACTTGCTTCAGAGGCCGTGCTGCTTAAATCAAGTGTTCACGGATCTGGAAACACCATACCATGTGGAGTAGTAACAAGTGGAAAGCCAGATTTATCACAAAATGCCCTTCAGAGTTCTGGAGAAGGTTGGGTGGATGGCTTTGCCAGGATGCAGGGTAATGATGATGGTTCGTTTGGGGATATGGATGTCAGTGAAGAACCTACCACCAGCAGGAAAAGGCGCCGAGCAGAAGAAGCCTCAGTAGCTGAAGGAGGTATTATAGCTAATGTTGGTTTGGACGAGGTTAAAGAAATCATGATGGTGCCACCTACTGTGGAAACCGTTGATCTTTCTGATGGTCGAGACATAGTGACTAATGCTTCCGTAGCTGAACAAGCCATCGAACCTACTCTAGTGATGTTTGAGGTAGAAAACACATTACTTTGTGAAATTTAAAATGGAGTTTTAGGCCAGGAATTACTCCAATTTCTTCTTTTTAGAATGTTTCCTTCTAGTTTTAAAATTTTTATTTGACCTGAAAGGTTGGACTGTTGTATTATGTTTGCCCGACCTCTTTACCTTAAAACTTCGTACCATGTATATTTTCTAGAAATTCTATAAGTTGGTGTTACGAAACTATAAAATTTTTATGCTTCTTTTCAGTTCACTAGTTGGGCCGTGCTATTGATAATTCTTAAACCATTTCGCCCTAGGAAAGCAGTCGAGAATGATATCAATTTTAATTTGTGGAGATGTTTAGATTTGAGAGTTCTGGAATGGATTGATTGATCGAATGAGGCTTAATCAGCTCTCTCCAACCCAACCAGACATCATTTATACCTGTGTTAGCAAGATCAATCTAGATATTACACGAGTTCAAATAACAGTGGCAAATGTGGCCTTAATTTTTTTTGTATGGATCTGTTTACTTTTTGTGCATTTCTGAGTTACATGATCTTTTACTTTGTAGGTTCATGTTCCAGCGTCCTGTATGCTGGATGGTGTTCATTCACAATATTTTTTTGGCACTGGAGTTATCATCTACCATTCCACTAGCATGGGACTAGCTGCTGTTGACAAGAATACTGTTGCTGTCTCTGTTTCTGATGTTATGCTTTCATTTGCTGCATTTCCTATTGAAATTCCTGGAGAGGTAATGCTATTTTCTATTTTTTTTGGACTAACATGAATGTAATGGACCATGATTGTATTGTTCTTTTGGGTAGGTTGTTTTTCTGCACCCTGTACACAACTATGCAATTGTGGCTTATAATCCTTCAGCGCTGGGGCCTGTTGGCACATCTAGTGTTCGTGCTGCAGAACTTCTTCCTGGTTAGTAATATCTATGTGTTTGTTCTAATTCAAACAATTTGTGAGATCATATGCTTGTGTCTGGATAAATTTTGAGATTCTCACGTGGATACTTCTAGTGTCAAAATAGGAACTAAAAAGTTGAACTTTCCAATTTATTTTTTTTCTGTAAGTTTTTTTTACTTTCAGTTAGTTATTTCTCTTGTTGGCATTTTTCCTTTTTTTATGTTACCAAAAATTGATCATAGAATTAGTTATTTTGTTCGTTTCTTTGTTTGATTTGTGAAATCACTATCTTAACTCCAATGATCTTGGAAGTTCTGCACTAACTTTTTTGGGGATGACGATAAGCTGAAGCTAATAGATTGGGCTTCACATGGTACTTCTCATTTAGTAGTGCTTACCACAATAATATATTAGTTTCTTGCACAACAAAATTTCTGTTTTTACAAATAGAAATTGATCCTTTTGTTTTTTTATTGGTAGAACCTGACCTGCGACGAGGTGATACTGTCTTTCTTGTGGGATTGAGTAGAAGCTTGCAGGCAACTTCAAGGAAATCTACCGTTACAAATCCCTGTGCTGCTCTCAACATTGGTTCTGCTGACTGCCCACGGTACAGAGCAACTAATATGGAGGTCATTGAGCTTGATACTGGTATAGTTTGGCTATAGTAACTCGAAAGTACTCTTTAATATATTTCCGCTTTAATGTACTTGTTAAGCCCTTTTCATAAGTTTTGTTTTTTTCGACCCAGATTTTGGCAGTACATTTTCGGGTGTACTAACGGATGAAAAAGGAAGAGTTCAAGCACTGTGGGGAAGCTTTTCTACTCAGGTTAGCATTGTCCCAACTCAGGTGGAGACTTTGGTGATAAGGTAGGATGTTCTAAAAGGAATATTGATGATTGCAGCTGAAATATGGGTGCAACTCACTAGAAGATCATCAGTTTGTTCGAGGAATACCAATCTATGCAATCAGTCAAGTTCTTGAAAAGATAATTGGTGGTGGTAATGGACCTCCTCTGCTAATAAATGGCATAAAAAGGCCAATGCCTCTTGTTAGAATTTTAGAGGCAGAGCTCTATCCAACTTTGTTGTCCAAGGCAAGAAGTTTTGGTCTTAGTGATAAGTGGGTCCAGGTATGGCCTTTATTTGATGTCTTACTTGCTGTATTTGATATTTCAGATTTTCCAGGTGGTGGATATTAAATTTTGTGGAAGTATATCCCCAGAAACGTTTGGGAGATTAAACTTGTCTTGAGCAGGTTAAATTCCGAGTATATGCATCGTTGAAGAAGGTAAACCGTAAAGGTTAAAAAACATAAACATAATGTAGCAAAAGGTACCTTGGAATAGGACTTATACATATCAAGCAAAAGCTTAAGAAAAATGGTTGATGTCTGGTGGAGATGTGTGTGGCTTTTGGATCTACTCGTATTATCGGAAGAAAGGATGATTTTGAAGTATGAAAAAAAGGCAGATCTGTGTTTTATAAAGTGTGAAAAGAGAGCCGGTTGCTTTCATAATCATTTCATGTGAGAAAACTGAATACTTGGGAAACTTATTATTGTACTCATGGAATATAAGAGTCATTTCATGTATTTGGGATCTAGAATTTTATGACAGGATATTTCTCTTTTGCTGATATTGAATTTTTTTCAGTTTATTTCTGATTCACATCGTTACTTAATCCACAAGGATCTATCTCCTTAAGTATGGACTTTGAAACTCTCGGAACCTTTTTGTTCTTGTTATGAGTTCTCTGTTTTTCCACCTGAGTTTCTTTCAGCCTTTATGATCCAAAATTTCTTTGGTCTGTCTACCATCATTTCCTGAAATCTCATGCATGGGTTGTGAAATCTGTGAGGCAATTATTGTGAAAAAAGGACTTCATCTAGGGCTCCAAGCATAGACTTTGAATCTCTAATCTCAGTCCTTGCTAGATATTATCTTCTGTGGCGATATATATATATATATATATATATATAGTTGCATTGTTTTTTCTTGCATTGCTACTATAATGGAGCTGCAATCAAAACACTTAAGTATTCTTTCAACAATAACTTCTAAACCCTGCTTCCCTTTCTGCTCTATATATATATATATATGAACCGTTTGGAACTTATCATTTTTCTCTCAGGCTCTCGCCAAGAAAGATCCAGTCAGACGTCAGGTCCTACGAGTCAAAGGCTGTTTAGCGGGATCCAGAGCCGAGCGTCTGTTAGAGCAAAATGACATGATCCTAGCGATCAATAAAGTGCCTGTGACATGCTTCCGTGATGTAGAAAACGCCTGTCAAGAACTTGATAACAGCGATGGGACACTTAATGTGACGATTTTCCGGCAGGTGATCGCCATCATCTGCTCACCAACTCTCCTTTTTCCAAATATGGTAGCAGATATTCATCAGTAATTCATCGTCTCGTTCTATCAGGGTCAAGAAATGGAGCTCAATGTGGGAACTGATGTCAGGGATGGTAACGGCACCACACGCATGGTCAACTGGTGCGGATGTATTATTCAGGATCCTCATCCTGCTGTTCGGGCTCTCGGATTTCTGCCGGAAGAAGGGCATGGCGTCTACGTTTCAAGGTACCCTTCTTCTAGCCTTCTATTTCTTGGTTTTGTTCTGAGAAGTGAAAAATGAGAGCTTTCGTCTGTATGATGTAGGTGGTGCCATGGGAGCCCGGTGCATAGATATGGCCTTTATGCCCTTCAGTGGATAGTCGAAGTCAACGGGAAGCTCACACCGGACCTCGAGACCTTTGTTAATGTCACCAAGGTACCATTTTTTCAAGAAGATGGTGCCTTTTCTCCAAGCTCACATCGACTGATCATGACGTTGACCTACCAAAACGTCGCAGGGGCTGGAGCACGGAGAATTCGTCCGGGTGAGGACGGTCCACCTAAACGGCAAGCCTCGTGTTCTGACATTGAAGCAGGATCTCCACTACTGGCCCACCTGGGAGCTGAGGTTCGACCCTGAGACTGCTACGTGGCGCAGGGGGATGATCAAGGCTCTGGACTGCAGTTCCCTGTGAGCGGCGTTGCCGGTGGTGTGTGGTCGGTCGGGGAGGGTTGGGCCGATATGCCTCTCTCCCCCTCAGTCATATTTCTGTTCAGATTCCACAGGAAAATGGATGCTGTGCTATTGTAACACTGCAGCTTTTTTCTTCTTCTTCTTCTTCTTTTTTCAATAGCTCAGACTATCATCTCTCTCTCTCTCTCTCTCTCTCTATCTCTTCTACAACTGAGGCTATTCATTCTTAGAAGCATTTGTGGGGACAGACAGGCACTAGTACTATTTGTATTGCTGTTGCTCAGGAAATAACAGAACTGCATCCTTGATGGAGTGATGCGGGGGCCTTGAGTTCGTGCTCTCTTCCTCTCTCTCTCTCTCTCTCTCTCTACCTTTCTTATGGCTTATTACTTTGCAGTGTGCAGCTTTCTGAAGGAGACTAATCCGAGGAATTGATTAGTGGGTCATTCCGTCATAGTTTGGGGTGCATTTGGGCCACTGAAAAAAGTCATGGGCTTCTATGGAACTTCCCATCGGTTGATTCTCCTGTTCTCTCTCTCTCTCTCTCTCTCTCTCTCTCTCTCTCTCTCTCTCTCTCTCTCTCTCTAGACTTTCGCCAAAAGTGCGGGACTGTGTTGGGTGACCTATTCCACAGTGGCCAGAGAGGATACAGAAACGAAAGGTAAGCCAAGCCACCTCCCCCAATCATATCGGAGGGGATCGACGTGGTCTTCACTCCTGTTTTGTAGCCCTCGTTCAACAGAAAAGAAAAAGTCATCAAATTTTATATATATATTCTCAAAAAAAGGAAAAAAAGATTTTTTTTATTAACTTAGTTAATGGGCCTCATGGGCAATAATGGCCTCAGATTTTCTCACACGAGGGGCCCCATTCTTATCCTTATCTCCGCCGGTGGCGTCGTGGGCCCCGAATTCAACAGCCCATTGACTTGCCAGTTGGGTCCAATATGCCGAGCCGTCCGATGGGGACCGCCAGCCCGCCCACCGAAGAATGGCTCGTGACTCGGCCTACAGCATTACACGTGTCCCCGCGTGACACGTAATTTCTCGAGTAGAGGATATTTATGGATTCATACCACTAACTGGTTGATACTGGGCCTTTAGTGGATATAAAGGGACTCTTAAAAAATTTTATTTTTTACGAATATTTATGTCTCGGTAATTTCCAATCAAGGAAATATCTTCTTTATTTCATTTCCTATACTTTTACTGATTAATTAAATGTCAAATAAATTTAATATATAACTAAAAATACAGTAAAGCGGTCAGTCTGCTCAAATGGCGAAGTAGCTGGATTAATACATATTCTCCACTTAGTAGCATTTTAGTGCGGGATGGGGCTTGAAGAAAATATGATGCACACCCTCAGTTTATTCCGTTAAACCAGGGAAAGATTGAAGAGAGGTACCCAAATCGAGAAAAAGCAGGCACCTTGATGATCATCCAGTCGAATCCAGTTCAGGTGAAATTTCCTGTATATATACCTTTAATTCTCAATAAATATGCTACAACTATTGTAATTTTCCCACCAAATAAATTTATTTAAACCTTCGCACAATCTAGAATAAAAAAAAAGAGTGAAGTATGATATTAGATCATGATCTTCCTCAAGGTAACTGCAGGCAGATTTATTGGGTAATTTTTGGGTTCGGAAGTGTTTAAAGTTTGCTTATTCGTTTTGGATGGTTTGGGTCTCTGATGAAAAAGATGCAATCAAATGTTCTCAGACCAATGAAACCTATGCCTGATGATGAACCTGAGGTAAAATAATAATAATAATAATAATAAAAGACTGAAAACGAAGAAGAAACACCATTAACGATGAATATCATGAGACGGTATTCAATGTGAATGGTCAACAGGCACTTCGTGTTGAAGCTGTTTAATCACTCTTGCAGTGCAATGCTACACAGTTAACAGCACTACGAAATCTGAAAACGTGGGAACGATGGGTGATGAGAAAAATCAATACTTCATATGATACTCTTGTAACTGAGAAACTTGCACATTCACTCGGGGTGAGATACTTTAGCTTTTAATGGCTGTTTTATTCCTCCCATTTCCTCGTAAAAAAAAAAAAACTGTCTTTTTTGGGAGCATACACAGTTTGAGTGGATTACGGAGAAAAAATCAGACCATTTCTGATTTGGGTCGGGAGGGGAACATGGTATGTGTTTGATTGCATATGATAAGATTTTCCTCCAGTTCCTGGTCCTTTCTGGAACCCAACTCTCGCTCCACTTGGAAACATTATATTCATTGTTGCAGCTGCTAAGCAGAAATACCACAGAGCAAAGTCAAAAGGAAAATCCAGCTCCACCGGACGAGAAAAGAAAGACTCCCGACTGAAAATAATCATGCTTCTTCCAGAGGGTGAATTGGGGAAACCTTTCAAGAAAATTGAGAAATCGAGACTTTCAGAGATGCAATCTCATTCATCAATCTCACCGCCGCCATGTTCTGGATCCAACAATATCAGATTTATTGTGTATAATTCATTAGTTTTTTAGATAATCTATTCAGGTTTATTGAGCTCATATCTTCTGAAATATGTGTGATCTTCTATGATCCCCAGCGTAGGACGTCCTAATGTGATTTCACAAGGATATCTTGGCAGAAACAAAGCAACCTCAATCATTCCATCACTGTTCATAATCACTTTACGCCTGGCATTTCTACTTCACACATATCATTAGAACAGTCTCATACTGGAGCAGGTTCATTTACTGCCAATTGGTTCGAAGCCGGATGACGTTTTAAATTTTACCCACCATCCGTTTGATCTCTATTTTTTCTTGATAGGATCTTGATAAGCTGAAGCTGTGCTTCAGCCCTGTATGAACTGCTATCTTATATCTGCTGCTCCTCACATACACTGATTACTCCTCTCTTGGATCAGTTCTATAAAGGCTTCATATCACCTCTGGACGCTTTCTCCAGAGGTTCAAGATGATGAACACAAAATTCCAGCGAGGTATTATTTGTCTTCATCCTTCAAAAATATTTCTGTCTCTGGGTTTCAATAATCATACTAGAAGCCACATGCTTGGGCCCTGTTCGAGTCAACTTCAATTATACTCGATTTTTTATTTCTATTCAAACAATAAAAATTAAATGGGAAATTAGTGGGCTGGGCCTTAAAGAAGGCCAGATGGATAAATAAATATATTTATATATTATGTGTACTTGTCATTTTTTTATCTCTAATAAAAATATAATATATATTTTTAGATCGAGATTTTTTTTTTTTTGGTCTGACCTGTAGTTTCCCAGTCGTGGGATTTTCTTGGCCCAAGCCCAAAAAAAAATGACAAATCAGAGTATGCTTCCTGATTTGGAGTTGTCCACTGATTTCCAAATTAGGACGAGAATCTAACCACTTGATTCTTTGAGGCGGTTAAGACTAGAAAGGATTTTTTCAAAAAATTATCTTCAGTAAACTCACCGTTCAGTCTGGGACGATAAGAGTAGGAGACAGATGCGGGCCCCCCGGAGACTTCCAATTGACGCGCCGCCTACCAGCGACAATGAGCCGTTGGCGAGAACTTCGAGGATCACCTGCTTGGAAGCTCACTTTGTCTGCTCCTTGACGACTTTTGTCATCTTCTGGGTGGAAAGGGATGCTTTCATTTAATGATTAAAAGTTTTACGGTAGCCTCATGGGCTTTTAAATCAGAATTATAATTTGGATGTACGAGGTCATCTCAGGCGAGAAGTCTACCCATTAGGGGTTGACCTTATTTTTCATAATGTTTTAGTATTAAAAAAACTAATTATGTATATGGTTCATAAATATGTCATCCCATGTGATAAATCTAGCCATTAGGGGTTGATCTTATTTTTCATAATTTTTCACTCTTACAGAAAACCAATTATGTATATGATCCATAAATATTTTATTTTCTAATTTAAAATTGATCCGACCAAACTAAATATTATCCTATGAATTTGAGTTCCACTTGTGGGTGGGTGCATATTTATTCCAATGATTGGTCATCTATTTTACATTTTTTATTATTTCATTTAATTTATTGATTTATATTTATCCAATCGAATTATGAGTTCGTTAAAGATGAAACATTCTAATTTTATGATTACATGCAAATCATATGGGGTATAAGTTTTGTTGACTAATATTCCATGGATAAATAAGAAAAATAAATCTCAACTTGGAGCATATTTTATTTTATGTATTTTGAAGTAAGAACTCCGTTCAACAAAAGATGCCACTGGCCAGTTTTGAAAACTAGAATTCACTATGGAAATATAAAATAATTAAATTTATTTTTTATTACTAAATGAAGTATTTAAAATCGTGACTAATTGTTAATTCTGAATCAATAACACCATCAGATTTGAGGATTAAGACAGACAATTATTCAGTAGTGCAAATGGGAGAGAGAGAGGGAGAGAGAGAGAGAGGGGGGGGAGGGACGGGGGAGCGACTGACCGAAAGAGAGAGGAAGGCAGGAAGAGAGAGAAAGAGGCAAAGAATATGGATGATCTTGGGTCGTCGGACTTTCTCCGCGTGATGACGTCATGAATGATCTTCAAAGAACATTTATTGTCTATTTCTTTTTTCATCAATGGTTCCTGAAGAATTGACCGCTTACTTAGGAACTAAGGGACTCTTATCATTACGGAATGGTCATTTCGTGAGAGAGATAGATAGATAGATAGAGAGAGAGAGAGAGAGAGAGAGAGAGAGTTTTTAAAGTTATAACTCTGATTTTGAGCTATGACGTAGATTTTAGCAAAGAAATATTGATTCTGTCAATATAATCATCAAACTTCTTGTCGAGAAAAAAGAGATCTCTAAATTAAGAAGTCTAGTTTTCAGCAATGGGGAAGAACAGGAAGCAGAACTAACATCGTTTCTGCGATTATAATCGTCAAGTTTAGCCAGAGGGAGAGAGAAAGAGAGAGAGAGAATTTGCAAAGCATAATTATTGGTCTAGGAATGAGGGAGATTACAAAACAGAATTATTGCTCTTGCGAGGACATTGTAATTAGCCAGGAATGTAGATGCACCACAAAAGGAGAAGAAAAAGGAGAAACCATACAGAGGCAAGACGAGCAGGCGATCGAACATTTTCGATCTTGCACCAGCTACACCATTCACAGACATAGGAGCCCCAACAGGAGCACGGCGGCGATTCCCGCCGGAGCCGCCAAGCTCCCCACCGGTCCACCGGCGGCGCCGCCGTAGGCGTAGACGGCGTCGATCGGGTACAAGGTTCCCGGAGGGCCCAGCGTTGACGGCGGCACGGGGGTCGCCGGGCAGTACGGCGGCAAGTGGCAGTGGGGCGGCGGCGGAGGCGGGTACTCCGGCTCGGGCGGCGGCGGGCACTCCGGCTCGGGCGGCGGCGGGCACTCCGGCTCGGGCGGCGGCGGCGGTGGCGGCAGCGGCTCGCAGGGGTCGCACTTGATCTGCACCGTCGCCGTCGCCGCCAGGGGGTAGAAGATCGCCACCAGAGCCACCAGGAGCGCCGCTGGCCTCATCTTCTCTCTCTCTCGCCCTCGCTCTTGTTCCGGTGGGGTGTAGAGGAGTTGATGGGGAGAGGGGGAGGTGCGGTTTGACTGGCTTGCGCAGCCCTCCAGCTGAGGTGCATGGAGAAATAAGAATACCAAAGGGGGAGATGACGTAAACTATCCGTCTCTCTCTCTGTGTGGCTGACCCTTCAAGAGTGAGTCACCGGAACCACCACCTCTTATGAGATTCTCTCTCTCTCTCTCTCTCTCTCTCTCTCTATCTATCTATCTCTCCACCCTCTCTCTCTCTGTCTGGCCTTTCCAGAGTGAGTCACAGTAACCACCACTTCTCATGAGATTTTCTCTCTCTCTCTCTCTCTCTCTATCTATCTATCTCTCCACCCTCTCTCTCTCTCTCTCTCTCTGTCTGGCCTTTCCAGAGTGAGTCACCGTAACCACCACCTCTTATGAGATTTTCTCTCTCTCTCTCTCTCTCTCTCTCTCTCTCTCTCTCTCTCTCTCTATCTATCTATCTCTCCACCCTCTCTCTCTCTCTCTGTCTGGTCTTTCCAGAGTGAGTCACCGTAACCACCACCTCTTAGGTGATTCTGACTCTCTCTCTCTCTCTCTCTCTGTGCAACTGACCCTTCAAGAGTGAGTCATCGTAACCACCACCTCCGCCTAGGTGATTCTCTCTCTTTCTTCCAGCGTTGACGTGGCTGTCTAGTCAATGAGAAGGGGCTGTCTCTCTCTCTCTCGCGCGCCCTCTAGAGAGAGTCGGTGTTGGGGGGTGGGCCCGGGTTCAATTCTGAAAGCGATGCGAACCGACAGAAGGCGGTAGCCGCCGAATACGTTTATCCTTTAATATCCTTTTTCAGCCTAAACTTTGCCACTACTGGCAAGTAATACTGACCTAAAACGCAATTATTAAGTCACCGTCGGATGTCGTCACCGTCGGACGTCGCCGCATAGTGCACGATGGTCAACTGATTGGTTAGGGACAGGGAGAGAGAGAGAGGGACGTGCCACCGGTCGTTAGGTCTACAGGGAGGGCGGGTGGAGGATGAGGGAGAGTGCGCACGTGTGAACCGTAAACACGTGTGAGCCTTCTGGGGCGTACGTGCCGAGATGGGAATGGAAAGCTCTTTGACTGATAGAGATGTCGTACGGAGGGGTCAATGGACCAGTAATCCTGAGCCCACCAGACCGGCCCAGTTTTCTCCTCTTGGGCCTCAAAATGAAGCCTAAAGAGGAAAAATACTCGTTTCTTATGGCCCAATCCCTCTTTGGGCTTCTATAATCTCTCTTTCTCTCTCTCTTTCTCTCTCTTCATATAAATGCTGTCCTTCACCCAAGAGACACGATGAAACCAAAGTTTCAGCACTAACTAAGGGAATCCAAAGCTATCTATGTCATATACTATCACTCTACTCATTGCCAATTGATTTCAACAAGCATAGTAATCCAATAAACAAAGCAAAATATACTTTTCCTTATCTATTAGCTTTTCTGAATGAATGTGAGATTATTTTAACAAAACCCATGGTCTTTGACTTTTTATATCGTAGAAAATTCAATTTACGCATTGATAATCAAGATTATTTTGACCATTAATTGTTTATCATACCATAAGCTCTTGCTACGTAAGGACAAAATCAATCAAGGTCATGAAAATTTTGAAGACCTGAAACGGCAATGGAAAAAACAAAAATGGGATCAATAATTAATGGGATGAGTTTATCAGGACCCAAAATTAATTGAACACTAAGTATAATGCATGTGTCAAATTTTTTGTGGATTCCATATCAGCACCAATTGGGAATAATAATGTAGGTCCATCTCAAATCGAAAGAGTTTATTTTTATATCTTAAAATGGTACTATTCTAAGTGCAGAACCATCTTCTGTGCTTTCTGATGTATATTGCCCTTTAGGTTAATACTTTTTTAATGTTAAAACAAAGAAAGTTAAAAAAAGGGTACATAATAATGTGAAAATCTATAACATATTGAAAATTTATTTTAATGGTTATCAAAATGAACTCCATAATTTAGGATAAAATTTATAATTGTTTATGTCAAGCAAAAATAAAGTTAGATACTTGTGTTTTATGGTGTAAATTATTAATAATCAAATGTTGTGTTTCGTATATTGTGTTATTTCACAATAGAATTCTCATAACTAAAAATTATAATACATATACCAACTTTTGTATATGCTCAACTCTTACACTACACAATATAATTTTCATACATTGAAATATCATACTTTATGTATTTTTTTACTTCAAATCAAATTTCCCATATATTGAAATATGAATTTTTTTACGTTATAATTTTTCATATAGTGAAATTTGATGATTGATGTACTCCACTATCTTGCAATATAGATCTCATGTAATTAAATATGATTATTGATTTACTGTATTATTATGAACCCTAACTTCACATATACTGAAAATATAAACTTTAATATATTTTTACTATTTTGTAATATTTTTTCATGTCTAAGAGTATGATGCTTGATGCACTACATTGTTTTGTAACATGAACTTCACATATCAAAATATTAGACTTTATCTACTAAAATATTTATCTACTACTCCTTTCTCATTTTCCATCGTACGCTTATGATTTTAAGTCATTGTATCTTTTTTTTACATGAGAGTGTATGATGCCCTAACTATTTTCAATTGACCTCAAATTTGTGTTGACTTTTTGGAGACCAATGGCCATGTATAGAAAATAAATAAATCGTCAAGGATAATTTATCTTAGGCTAAAAATCTCTACTTTTTCCATCCACATTTATGGACTTAATGTGGTTTTATTTTACAAAATATCTCCAATTTTTAGATTCCAATAATTGTCTCCACAAGTATATGTGGCAACTAATTTTGGTATGGTTTTACTTATTTGTTATTTTATTCTCAAAGGTTTCTTCTAGAGAGAACTTTGTATATCAAGCTATATATTTAAGTTCATAAGAATTAAATTGTATAATAACATAGCATACATAATTTGTGTTGCAAATGAAAAGAGTTAGACTTAAAGTTATTAATAAAAAATTCAGCATATTGTATCCATGACCTTTGTGATGTGATATAAGACAATTCATGAAGTCTTATGTCCTCATTACATAAAAAATCATTTCTCAGTGTATGAATTATGCATTGTAGTACAAGTTAGTACATCAAGTAAAGTATGTTTGTAAGTAGACTTTATGTTGAAAAACATAATACATTGATAATCTATTATATCAAACTCACATATTAGTAGTATATGACATGTTATATTATACATAACCAAAATAATAGCACATGCACCAACACTTTAGAATCATGTAAAAATCTAAGATCAACACTATCTAATACCAGTAGAAGAATTCACTACTAATATAGAACTTATGAAAGAACAACCACACTTTCATAATGAAAACAAAAGCCATACATTTAATGTTTAGATGTTACCACTAAAGTGACATTGACTATAGCCTTGCTTGACTATTGAAGAATGGATAATCAAAGTAACCTTCCCATACATAGGGGAAAAAGATATATTTTTTAAAAACAATGGCCCAAAAAAGTAACCATAAAAGAAAATTTTAATTTAGAAGCTCTGGAGAATATGTCTTTTAAAATAATTCTACACCTTGGTAATGACGAGTTAATGATTCCAAGTTGGATCTCTATTAATGACCTTTAAAAGTGTTAATGTTGTGAAAAAAAACTTCTATTTTTAGGCCAAAAAAATACATTTCAAGAAAGTTCCAAGAAAAGCTAATAAAAGGATAAATTTAGTTCTCTTTGATATTATTTGGTTAGTAGTGGTAAAATTCTACTACTACCAAGAAGTGCTTATGAACACTTCAAGAATTTTGAATAGTGAGTTAGTGTCAGATCTCTAGTGTTTGGTCATTTAAAATTGTGAACCTAAATGTGAATATTGGGGGCATTTGGGCTGCTATAATTGTGCATCTGGTGCAAGTGAGTTGTAATATAGTGTTCAATGTTGTACTATCCATGGATGTTAAAATTAATAAAAATTATATTTCAAAGGTGAAGTGTGTTGGCAGAGCCAAAGCATATTAAATTGTGTGGCTCTTTTTCTTGATCGTCTTAGCCACTCAAATGGAGGTTGACTCATCTAAATTAGGGTCTCCCTCTTCAACTGCATTAGATTTCTTTCATCTTAACAAATGAGAAAAAGGAAACCGATTCACATCTTACTATTCCCCATCTTGGTTCCTTTGTGATATTGAGTAGAATATCACATGAATTTTATTATTATCATATGAACATTAAGAAACATGTGCTACATTGTAGCATTAAAGATTGGAATGTGTATTGAAAAATCTTCAATCTAAAAAATATCAATATTATGGGTTCATAAGAAACTTTTCTAAAATTCAAACTTCACTCCTATAATTGAGCATTTTATCATGATGGTCTTTTGAATTTAGTTAAGTTAACCTTTGAATCATTCTCTTTTGTGCGATACTTGTTTTCCGTTTTCTTAGTTGTAATAGCATAAGAGATTGTTGGTTTTTGAGCACATTATATTTTAATGCTTGCATATTGTTGTAAATTGATAACTAAGCATTGCAACCCCATCACAGGTTGGAGAACGTATGGCCAGTCCACTGAAAAAATATGGTATACTTTTTATTTCGTGCCTAAGATGTTGACTTTGGTTGTTATCCCCATATAAAACTCCCATTGAAAAAAAAAAACTTAATGAAAATACTTTGTGGAAAAAAAGATCCAACATCATCTCGTCGTCTCATGCCTGCTGCTTCCTAGATGGCCCACTTAGGACCAAGAATGTGAATACAAAAATTAGAGTCTACATAGTCTATTCGTTTCTTGCCCTAAGATCAAATTAAAGTTATGGCTCATCAACCTCAATTTCAATGAAGAATGAATGAACTAGGCCCATCACTTAAATTGTATTGAATTATTCTTATACGTAGGTCATCAATAAAAAATCCAAGTCAAATTTGGAATCATTCAAATTTTTTGCTACATCACAAAAAAAATATGCAAATAAGATTTAGACAATATTTAGTCTCGACAAACCTACTGATCAAGAAATTAGTGAGAAAATTATACTATGATAAAATATTGAAAGGTCATGTATGAGGAGAGTAATTAATGGCTTTAATCATTTTCTTATAGAGCCCTGACCTGGCCAATACGTAAAGAAGATGAGGAAAGCGCTAGATACATACGAACGCAGGTGGGGACCTCACCACGTGGTGGGGAGGGGCGGAGGTATGATGGCGAGAAATCAGGCTGTGGGTACGTTGAGAACGGGGATAATGTTTACGTTGGGGATATTGATATGACATAATTACAAGTGCGATTATTAAGATTTTTTGTAAAGCAACATCGTAGGCTTGTAAGCGGCCATGCTGGGTCCGGGCCAGGCACCAATGAAGCTTATCTTGGGAGGAGGGAGGGAGGGAGAGAGGGAGAGAGAGAGAGAAATTGCTAGTAAGATAAGAAGAAGGAAAGGGAGGGAATCAAGATCAGAAAACAACAGCTTTACAGACTTCACCGTACACAAAGACGTTGGAGTAGGACCACGGACGGGAGATCTCCAACATCGTTCATATCTCTCTCTCTCTCTCTCTCTCTCTCTCGCTCTTCGCTCACGGAAACCCATCAAGCAAAGCAGAGATCTCGGCTTATGCGGAGCCATCAGCAGCCCACTCCACCTGGAACGAGATGGCCACGATGTGGGGACTTCGGCGGCAGCGTCGGCAGCCGCCGCCCCTCGCAATCGTAGAAGATGGCACCGGAGAACTCCAGCGGCTGGCACTTCTCTCCCATCATTATTCCCTTCTGCCACAGTCCTCCTTCTCTCTCCTCCCCCTCCTCGTCAGAGAGCTCGTTTTCTTCCTCTCCCTCAGGAACCTTCCCCCCTATCTTCCTGTTCCTTCTTCCGCGGAAAGGTATCAAGCTGATACGCCGACTCAAGTAAGGTCCCCAGCTCGGCGCGATCTTGGAGGCGTCCACTCTCCGCCTCTCGCCGCTGCCTCTCACCTTCCTCGAGACGTGGGAAACCATGGCTGACACCGCCCGCAGAATCCCTACAGCCATGTTTCCTCTCCCTCTCTCTCTCTCTCTCTAGATATGTATACATAGACGTATATATATAAAGTGGGGATCGTTGGGTCTTCTGCCTCGCTTAACAAGATGGGTTACCGGTGCAACTTGGGAAAACATCCGAGGAAGGTCAAGCCGTGCGCGGCCAACTTCTAACTTGTTGATAGAAGCACGCCGACGGCGGATAATCTGCCGTGCTATTCTGGACTTCGACGATTGGCATATCCTGACTGGCCCACGTCGCCAAACCTACTCTGAGAGGGCCCCCCAACTCACTCGTCCAGCGCCGAGCTCAACGCGTATTGGTGACCCATGGAGTGGCCTCTTCCTCTTCCCGGTCCTTTGATTCTCTTGCCTCTTCAGACCCGGTCCAACCCCACTGGGTCAAACCTCTCTCTCTCTCTCTCACACACACACACACACACACACTATCACAGAAGAATTTGACTGTCGGGATTGTCGTTTAAAGCGGCGGGTGGCGGACCGGAGCGGGGTTGACCCAGTTTTGTTGGCTGGAGATGGGAAGACCGAGAGGACCAATCAGTGGAGGAGAAGATCAGGTCGGTGGCACGAAAGTCCATGAATGGATTAATAAGTCAAAAAGCATGGTCACGACACGGCGATTTGTCAACGTAGAGAAGGGATTTTTTTTTCAAATACAGGCGATTGGGGATGTCCGAAAACGATAATTTGCGCCGGGTGTGTGAAGGTGTCAACGGGCCTGGCCCTGCCAATTCCGATTGGGGATGCCCGAAAACGATAATTTGCGGCGGTTGTGTGAAGGTGTCAACGGGCCTGGCCTCGCCAATTCCGATTGAGGATCCCCGAAAACGATAATTTGCGGTGGATGTGTGAAGGGTGTCAACGGGCCTGGCCTTGCCAATTCCGAGCCGGTTCAAACGGGCCAGGGAAAAAGCCCGAAAGTAGGATGTGGGTCAAGTTCGTATGAAAGCTGAGCCCGACTTGGGAGGCAAGGAGGGAGGGAGAGAGAAGAGAGATCAGGTACTTGCGTTGAGGACGCAAACCATATGTAAACTAATAATTTTGTTACTGGGTAACAATTTTTGATTGAATAATAGTTCAATGATGTCATTATATATGCATGAGAAAATACTTCTGATCAGTATCCTGCATTATTTGCAACAAGAATAATTTTTTCTCTCTATAAGTTTTTTGTTCATATTTCGATAATTTTAATCAAACAGAGTCGCTGTATTCTTTTAGGTAAATCAAGTTTTCCATGTTCATAGCAAAGAAGAATCTGATGTCCTCAGGCCTCATTCGAGTCCACCGCATAATAATCGTCGAAAAGAGTTAACTCAAAATGAATTCTCTCTCAAGATGAGTTGGGACGTTTCTAGTTGGAAAATAGACGAGTTTCAAGAAAAAGATTACGTTTTATAGCAATTTTTCGTAGGTGAAGAAAAGTTTCGTGAATTTTTTTTGGCAGTTGATTAAAAAGTTCAGAAATTTGGATGCTTTACAATAGATTTCTGACCCAATTTGCGATCATCGCCTACGACAAAAAGCCCGCTCTTTTCCGCTTCTCCACTCATCTATCCCTTCTGCTTCCTCTGCCACGAAAATGGCTTCCGTGGGAGGTCCTCTATCTTGCTCTTCCGCCGCAACCCATCTCCACTCCCGCCAGCTGCTCTCGAATTCCCTCCCCCTCAGAAGGACGAGATGCCGGAGGAATTCAGCCCCTTCGGCGGCAATGTCGACAGATTCTCCAGGGGAATCCACCAAGCTGGTGACCTTCCTCGGCAAGGGAGGCTCCGGGAAGACCACTGCTGCCGTTCTCGCTGCACAGGTGGGGGCTTGCATTCCTCTTGCTCTAGAATTTGGTGGCCCTTTGAATTCGATTCACATAGAGAAAAGAAAATCTATCTCCCTTCTTCTAGCTCGTCTGCCGTTTCCTTCTCCTCTCCATGCTCTTCGACTGAAGGGGAACTGAATATAGCGAATGTTTTGGCTGAATTTTCCGTGCACCCATTCGCAGAAGGTAGGTTGCTCTCGACTATGCCACATTAAGCCACAACGGCAGCAAGGAAGATAAATGATCTGTTTTAAGAAGTGGCAAATGGCATTTTGTAATTTTTTTTATGTCGGCGTACTTTGATCCTATTACTTAATAACAGTTCAGCTGGTTTGGAGGATAGAAGAGACGAATCAGAATTCGTATTTCAGGAAGGAACATCGAGTATTTTTTAAAGAATTTGGGCATAATGAACTAGATAATGAAGCATAAGTATTACTAATTTGTATTTTTATTCCAGAAATATCATTACATTCCAGGTTTTGAAGCTCTAGGAGACATCTGCTAGGAAAAAAATGTGAAAATTGCTGATTTTTTCTTACTAAAATTGATTAAAAATGTATCATCTTGCTGAGAATCTCTAGCCGTTCTTAAAGCTATGATTTAATTTTTAAAAGCTTCCACACCAGAAAATTGAAACTAAACCATGTTTTCTTTCTTTCTGAAAATCGTACATCTTCTTCTGCAATTTCCTGTCAACAAGATTTCCTCTTCCTATGGTCATAATAACTTTATGTAGGCTAAGTGACTGAGTGATACCGACCACCAGGTCTAATGTTCTTGCTGTTATTGGACCTTAAGGCAAAGACAAATTGACACCACTTTGGGAGGCACGGGTTTTAGACCCTTTCATTGTATACGTTCTAAATGTGCAGTAACATTTCCTGTTTTGGGGCCCCTTTTGTTCACTGTAATTGTTCTTTATTCTGCCTCAATTGGAAGACCTTCTCAGGGTAAAAAACAAATTGATAAAAAATGTATTCAGAGATCGAATGGCAGTTGCTTGACCCCTTTGGTGTCCATTTTTCATAGTAAAAATCTAATGATTCACTCTCTGTTGCCATTTGATTGATACTATGAGATGTGTTGCCAGTGTTAAAGGCGGTAGCTTCTTATGTCTTCTCATTGGCTGACAGTACTATGCAAAGGAAGGGCTGCGCACATGCCTGGTCATACATTCTCAGGACCCAACTGCCAATCACTTGATGGGTTGTAAAATCGGTGCATCACCTGTTCTATGCAGTGAAAATCTGTTCGCCGTCAGGTTGGAAACAACCAAGGTAACCATTTCTCCAACCCACTTGATTCTCTCGAACATGACGTGAACATATCAGCCATTGAATGTATTTTGATCCTTGATGATTTTATAGATGCTTCTTGAACCCTTGGATCAAATGAAGAAAGCCGATACACGGGTCAATCTGTCTCAAGGGATTCTTGAAGGGGTGGGTATGTGAGAGCCATTCAATTTCGAAGATCAGCCAGTTCGCTTCATAGGAGCTGATTTTGTTTCTTTTAAAGGAAAGAGATGCTGAGAGGAGATTTTCCTCCTGAATCATGTGGAACAGGTTGTAGGGGAAGAACTTGGGGTTCTACCTGGCATGGACTCCATTTTCTCTGCCCTTGAGATCGAAAAGTTGGTCAATTTGCTCGGCAGGAAAAGAAAACACCCAGATCAAGATTACAATGTCGTCGTTTATGATGGCATCAGCACTGAGGAAACGCTTCGAATGATCGGTGCAGCTGAAAGAGCGAGGTAGATCTCATGTTTTCCTCGAAAACTGTACCGTTCATTGGAAGTTCTATAAAAAGGCCTATGCTAAAAACAGGTGGTATCTGAAACATCTTCGGAGCATGGCAGAGAAGACAGACATTGGCAGATTAACTGCCCCATCAGTTTTGAAGTTAATGCAAGAATCAATGGGTTCAAGTAGAATATCTGGTGATGGGAAAATAAGCTCAGAAATATGGGATGACATTGAGCTGAATCTACAGGTAGCTTTATGTCCACTTGCAACAAATGTTGATCTTGCCGCTTGCAGATGCTGACAATTTCTCTCTTTTTCTTGTCTTCTTTCTTCACAGAAAGCATCAGCCTCTTTCGCAGACCCTTCAAGGTTTAGATCCTTTCTTGTGCTTGATCCAAGCCGACCGATATCGATCAGCTCGGCATTACGGTATTGGGGTTGTGCGATCCAAGCTGGAACCCAGATATCTGGTGCTTTTGGGTTTGCTCCCCCGCTGTCTCCCATGTCATTGACAGAGGTTTCTGAGAAGATCTCTCCATTGTCATTTGCACTCGTGCCATATCTTTCCACAGAGTCGCCAGTGGACTGGGACTCAGTGCTCAATACTCTCAGTGACGAGGTGAAGGGCATTCTTGATTCATCACAGAGTGGTACCCAACCTTTGGTGAGATTTGACAGTGCTAAAAGAACAGTGACCCTCTTCATGCCAGGCTTCGACAAGTCTGAAATCAAGCTCTATCAAGTAAGTCATTGTCTCATCACTCTGGAAAAAAAGAAAAATTGAAAATAACACTGTGGCACGCACTTTACCAACTCTAATGCAACCGGGTCTGCCTTAGGTTATTTGAAAAGCTTTACAAGAGAATGAAGCTATGGATTTTGGATAGTTTCAGTGTTCAAAGTCCCAGTCTATTTTAATGTTTCTAAAATTTGCCTCTACTTATTTACCTCCTGGTGGTATATATTTCTTTGCTTTTAGCGTTGGCCTTCAATTTTTCCGGCAATAGCGGTGATCTGCAGTGCCTGGGACATACGATCTGGCTCTCTAGATCTCGATCGGTATACCTTGTTCTTCCCCAATTTGGGTGGGTTCCTGAAAGAGAAAGGCTCTGGGCTGGGTGTTGGATGTTCTCCAAGAGGGGGCCGAATTATCTTGATATAAATTATTGGCATCTGACTCGGATTGGCATTGCCCAACCTGGGCCGATGATCTGGCTCTCTCTGCTGTGGTTAAGGTGAAGATCTTAAGACGTATTTCTCACTTCCTTTGATTTGCAGTATAGAGGGGGAACGGAATTGCTTGTGGAGGCAGGTGACCAGAGGCGCGTCATAAACTTACCTTCTGGGCTCCAAGGTAAAGTCGGCGGCGCCAAGTTCGTCGATGGCAGCCTTCTAGTTACTCTAAGGTAACAATTTCTCTTCTTATACCAAAAAAACCCAAGTATCATGATTGCGGGCCAGGAAAATATAGAAGAAAAAAACCTGTAGAGAAAGAATGTCCATTTCAAGTAATTATCCTCCATTTTTTTAATTCTGGGTATGGCATTGAATGTTCCATCCTCAGAATTATGGGTTCCGAGATCAGATCGATCAGATGTATCTTGGATGATCTTTTCAAGCCAATCAGCCTTCTGGCACAGAACTTTTGGTCGCCCTTTTATTTGCTTTTGATGTGGGCAACTGATGTGAATCCTTCTTTCTATTTGCTGCTTTTTCCGTTTTTTTTGGCAACATTGGACTTTATTCATGATTTTAGTCAACGTTTCAGACAATCATTCAGAAAAATATATAGGATACGGAACCGTTCATCGGGTGTATGCTAGTGAGGAGGTTGCGCATTAAAAGGCGAAGACTTTGATGTTTTAACAAAATAACAACTACCAAATGATTCTTGATGATATTCCCTTCCCAACTACCCAGATAATTCCATTCCCAGTCTAAGTTTTTGTGTGGGTATCTACAGATGAATATGCTTAGATAAGAAAAGTTTCCATTTTTTCCTTGAGAAATCTCTGCCAGATAATCCCTCATGATCAGCGAGAATCATCAGAAGTAAGATTACCTCTTTCAGCTGTTCTTTAAGAACAGCATGAACTGGCAAGAAATCTGAGAACTGGTCACCATAAAACCAGCCATTCAAATATCCATGAATCATATGAAGATGAATGGTATACATGATGAGAGAGATACTCTAACTGAAGGGGGAAGCAACACCGTTGCATGGTCATCTTTGGAGAAACAACTGGAGAACGAGAACTCCCTAAAGGATATGTTAAATTCCTCATCGGGACTGTTTACACAAGAAATTACAGGGCCAAAGGGCCAGCAGATGTCCCCAACAGCTTAGCTGCGGCCATGACCTCTCCAGGAGGGAGGCACCGCAGAACTGACTCTTACGCTGAACCACTGTATGAGAGGAAGGAGTAGGGACTATAAACCCTAATCATGGAAAATGCCGATGAGGCCGGTTGCAGTCGGACGCCTGAGAACCAGAACCGACAGATGGGCGGCGATCAGATCTGACTGGGATTCTCTCTCTTGGGAAGACCATCCGCTGAACCCAGACTGTGGGCTTCTCCAATGGTGAATGAAAATTAGACGGCAGTCACAGAAGAAAGGCCATCATCTTTCTTTGTCCTCGTTTTGGCCACTATTGCTGTGTGAAAAGTGAGATCTTTACAAAGGAGAAATGGCTATGGACAGAAGGGGTGGCATCAAGTTGCAACTGCTGGCCCTGTTTGCGAGCCGACCCGGCTCCTCAGCTCTTCAAAGGCCCTCATACTCTCTGCATCGAAGCCCCCAGCAAACTGAAAAAGAAAGAGAGAAAAAAAACGGGGGGGGGGAGGCAAAAGCTCAGTAAGAACCCATATGATCTCCAGGAATGACTGAAACATTAAGCACATCTGTAGAAAGTCCAGTCACCCTGTAGGCCCTAATCACTTGCTTAACTGCTCTCACTCCATATGGGATTATTCAAACGTGCCTTGGACGGGCTTGCTGAGTGGAGTTTTGTACGCGTTCAAACACCCAGTCTAATATATTTATTTCAGTACGAAATTATTCTAGCAAGTTGCAGTACGCACCTGATGAACGCGGAAGGCGAATCGAACACCTTGCAGCAGTAGGAACTCCCTGTTCGGCTCCTTTTCTGGTCCACCCATAGCATCAAGCTCTGAGGTGACACGCTTCATGTACTTCCTGGATAACTGAACTGACGACAACTTTATCTGCGATGTATGAAGAACAAGCAATTGAGAAACCTTCAATGGCAACGAAAGGTGTTGATGGCCACGCTGGGTGGAAGATCTGCTTTTATGGGAGGACGCTCTGAAGGGCTGGATTCTTTTAAAGAGGATGAGGATTACATCTAAACATGTAGAATAGCTGAGTTTCTGCACATGGGCATGCTGATGAGTACAAAATTTGCAGCTTTCTTGAAGTGGGTAAAACCTTGGCATTCCTGAATTAGCAAGCTAATGAAGAAAATGAAAAGTGGTACAGAAGGTAGAAACAAACCTTGCCGACAACGCCCGTATCTGACAACCAATCTGTGGGGATTCCAAACTCCCTATAGCGTGAGGCTGCCATGTCTCGTGTCCGGAGCAGAGCATATACGCTCTGTTCCAACCTGTGGTTTAGGGGAAGTAAGAGTAAGATAATAGGAGATGTCGATGAGCATTTACTTGGTCGCATTGTATTCTTTACCCACCCATCACAACAAGAAAGAAAAAACAACAGAAAAGAAGAAAATAATTGGAATGCAGTCGATAAATAAATGCATGCCCTTCAAATTTAATAGAGAATTCGATTCAAGTTCATTTTTCTTCCTTCATGAGGATGCATGAGCCAACTGGAATTATTGAGGGCAGTAGGGCCACTAGCTAAGAACCCTAATGATGCAAGCAGCGGGTCAGAGATGCTCACTTCTCCAGCAATGAATACATCTTCTTCAGGGCAGGTTCACATGGAAGCTTTGAATCGTCAACAAAAGTCGTAACTTGCTTTTCCAGCTTCATGAGGTCCTGATACTCAAAAGCTGCCTCCCTCAATGCATCAGCCTTTCCCTCCGGCCAGTCAAAGTGTTTAAGAACAGCCCGTTCATCAACCTACAAAAGAGACACCAATAGATAAAGATAAAGAAAACAGGTAAAAGAGCTGTGGTCGCTAAAACTGAAAGAAAGAAACGGGGAACTGAACTACATTTGGATCGATCCTTAAAAGGAAAATCCCCATGACTTCACACTTATGAACAAGAAGAGGGCATACCAGAAATGAAAGCTCCTCATCCAACCAGTTTACAAAGGAAAGAAGATCTTCAATGCGGGTGAAAGAAGCTGCTCGGACTTCAGCTGCCAGAGATTGGACAAAATCACCTTGCGTCTCCACATCAGCTTTTACCTGAATTAGCAGAAATTATTTTGGAACCCCCATCAGAAAAAACAAAAAAAAAAAAAAACCAGGATCATCTGATTGAATTCACATGACATGAGAAGACAAGGTTGAGGATTGATGTGTACCGCTAACAGGAATGTTGATCTGTTCTCAATTTCTCCAATCATGCTGCTCCTGGCACTTGCCACATTGGATGTTGCAGAGCCCCCGGAGGATACTTCCTTCTTGGATTCACGCTTCATCAAAGACTGGTAAAATTCGACCAGCTCAGGAGCCCTGTGTACCTTGTCTGCACCTCCACTGCCTTTTGAGAGGCCTCCAGGCGGGGGAGGAGGAGGAGGGCGAGGTGGCCCACCAGGTGGTGGTGGAGGCGGAGGTGCACCTGGTGGCAATGGTGGGCGTGGTGGTGGAGGTGGTATGCCTCCTGGGGTAATGGGGGCTTTACCATCTGCACTTGGGGTCCCGCCCATTGGTTTGGGAGGCGGCCTAGCCACCCTCGGAGATCTCTTTTCAATGTGTGCAAGCTTAATCTGGCTAACGACTGGTGGTGAATCCACCTTGCCTTCAACAGGCTTATCAACTGAACCAGCAGAAATCAAAGGTTTTTCCTTTATTAGAGCCAGCCTGGGCGGCAGCGAAGTGGTCCTTTCTCTTTCTACTTTGGCTTTAGGTTCAAGAGGTCTAGTTGAAATCAACACGTCGCCGCCCCCAAATCTCTCTGCTCGTGCTTGATCGGCCTTCTCCTTGAGGGCCTTCTCTCTCTCCACAGCCAGCTTGTGCCGGTCTTTATATGCCGGATACTTATCGTCAGCCACACCTTCAACAGACTTTGACATCAGCTGGAAGGAGTCGGCCACACTGTTCAGGGAATCACTCGATGGCACCTGTATCCTTAGACGTGGAAGGTCTGGTTCATCCATGGGTTCATCAACCTCCTTCTTCCCAAAAGTGGTGATGGCCACCCCATCACCTGCATTGCGTATCATGAGCGCCTCCAATGGGCCCTTGGGCCGTTGGCTGATGCTGGACCTCATGGGGGAGTTTCCTCCAAAGGACCTGGTTGGGGACGCCAAGGCACTCATGTCATCCTTGCTCTTCCCCCATCTCTTGAGCTTCTGAATCAGAGTTGGCTTCTTGCTCACACTGCTCCATCGGCTAGAAGAGCTGTCAATGGAGGCGTTGTCAAAGTCGTCACTCCCAGGAGAGGAGGGAAGGGAGGAGATGCTCTCATTATCTGTATCTCCCTGCCCGCGTTCTGACCCAGCATACTCCATCAGCAACCTCTTGGCTTTCTCCTGGGATTTGGGGCTCATGCTCTTGTTGAGGTCACGAGCAGAGATCTTCCCAGAAGTTGTCTGGTAGTTCCTGAGCTCATACCTTAGGCAAGCATTGACCCAGCGGAGGTAGACCAGCTCCTCCACCTCGCTGAACCTGTTCATCTGCAGACCTTCCACCTGCTTAGAGAGGTCTTCGTTCACATGCTTCAGGGCATTGACCTCCTCTCTCACGTGGGCAACCATCTCACCCTTCAACAAAACATCCAGGAAGAACACTCAGTCTATTCAGTGGCGGCAAGAAGAGAGAGAAAGAGAGAGAGAGAGCAAAATAAGCATCCAAGGTGGTGCAAACAAGGAGAAAAAAGAAAGAAATTCAATACAAGGAACCACATGATGAGACTGGCCAGGAATTCAATGGAAAGAGCATCACAATTCCAATAAAATAGTGAGAAAAGAGTGGTGAACATCTTTGTCTTCAACCTGCGAGGTGTAGGCATATTCATTATCTGAATCGTAACATTCATCATGTTCTAGCATCATTTCTTAAAAACCCCTCGGTAAATAAAACTTAAAATCGGCCAAAACAAGCCCACCTAAAACTTTCATGCAGAAAACATTCCAGTTCCATCCTACCAGTAGAAACGGCAGAGATTGGTTGGGGGGATGAGATTGGGTATTGTTAGTAATGCATAAATTATGTGGTGCCTACATCAGCAGACCGCCAACCATGTAGCAGCCTTTCCCTCTTCAATCTACAAAAAGCTAGGATTTTGCAGCAGCCCTTTCAATTGACAGAATAAATCATTGGAGAGAATAATATAAAAGTCAATGATAAATGGGCCCTTCCTCAAAGGTCAACATGAACATGCATGGTCCACGTAAAAAGTCCCTGCCACATGAGGGGAAATGTGAAGAATCTATCATTAGTCTCACTGCTACCAGTTGTCCGAACATAGACCCCGAGTACATAGCATATCATCCCCATGATCTAATAAAAGGGAAAACATCCAACAACAAGACCACCAATTGTAGTTCATGATTTCAATGCCTTCTATTCGGAGAATCAAAAATCTGCATAAAAAAATTAAAAATGAGGGTAAAATAAGATTCATACCTCATCCATGTTGGACAAGGCAGCAACTTTGGCTTCTGCAGCATCCAACTTAACTACCAGCTCCCGCTTCTCATGCTGCAGCTCTTTGCTCTTCCTCCTCAACTCCACAACCTCCACCTCCAGGTCCTTGGCTGCTTTGAGCTTCTTCTCGATTTCGGCATCCCTCTTGGAAGCTTCAGCCTCCTTTGCCAGAAGCTCTGTGACTTGCTGCTTCAGAATCAATAAGTGCCCCTTTGTCTGGTTCCCCTCGAGTTGCATCTGCCTCTGGAATTCCTTGATCTTGTTTCTCGCTGCCTCCAGTTCCTTCTTAAGCAACACGCTCTGAGCAGCCTCATCTTGGAGCTTCTTCCTCTCTGCCTGTAACGAATTAATGGTGATGTTGAGCATGTCAATCTCCACCGTCTTTATTTTCAGTTGCTTCTGTAACTCTGCAACATCGGACTCTTGCTCCTTCAGGCCATAGTACTCGAGGAGCTCCCCTTCGAGCTTCACTTCTCTCTCTTCCAGCTCCTTCACCAGATTACGCAGCCGTTCCAACTCAGATTCATTGTTTGCAATCTCTGTTTCATAGTGGGTATCAACTTGAACATCAAATTTGTCAACAGGAAATAAAATATCGATTTCCTCAGAGAGAAAGTCCTCAAATTCAGGCAATATGTCTTCATCCTCTCCGATTTCCAGCATCGGAGGGGGATTGCTCTCGGTTGCACTTGTAATCACGCTGCTGATTCTCTTTTCTTCTTCCTCCTCTTCTTCCTCCTCGGCAATCTGCCACATCCACAGAAAAATAACTTCATATGTTACCAGATATGACTTGGAGCACACAAACTCAGAGACCAGCTCCAATCAGAGAGAGTACCAAAGAGAGAAAAAAATAATAAATAAAAAGAGCCCACGCACATGGATATTCTCCTGGCTAATTTCAGACTCTTCAAACAAAATCTCCTCTGGTTTTTCTTCTGCATGGTGTTGCTGGAGGCCTTCCTCGCCATTCTCTGCACCAAAGACTCACACTTGCATCGTCGGAAAACAGCTCTATCGACCAAAAGACCACCCTGAGGAACAGGAGAAAAATTGGAAGAATAATTAGGGATGAGCATACCTAAGCTCTTAGGTGGAGGCCTCTTTCCGGTTTTAGCTTGATTGACAGCATAGGCTGCAACAGAAGCAGCAACCAGGAAGCCTACTCTGACCAGCATGTATAAAATCTGATGACAGGCACTCCTCCTTGAGTCATCACTTTCTCAATAATCCCATAACCAGTCCAAGCGAGTGAGGCCGACGCAAGCACAGAATCTTGCCCAGAATCATCATTCCTCCACCAAGAAGAGAAGAAACTCGAGCCCGCCTAGACCCATCTCTGAACCGATCATCATCCGCTGTCAAGAACTCCCTCTCTGCGTCAAAGATAGAAGAAGCCCAAAGCGAGCGGGGGCTACCAGCGTGTCGTAGTATCACCACAAGCCCGTCACCAGAATTTGTGGCCGGCCTTCCCCGGGGCCAGTTTCACCGTCATGGTGGGACTCCTTATCTGGTTACCATCTTCGTCGTGACCATAAACGACCAGTGTCGAGGATTTTGCCTCGACAGAATCAACCGCCCGCAAGTCGACAAGAGGGCTGGGAGAGGGGAGAACGAGGGGCAAGCCTACAAGTTTTCAAGGAAAATGAGGCTGTTTTAGGGCAGAAGAACGGGAGAGCCAGGGAAAAAAAAAAAAAAAAACAGATTGTTGGCGTTAGATCCTGGACCATATGCCTGCTGGATTGGGGAGGAGAGGCCGAGACCCAACACCCCGCCATGAGGACCCCACTCCAAAGGGATAGAAGTCGCCGTGCTTCACCGTGGAAAGCTTGAAGAGGGCCCACCACCGGCTGTGAATTTGTCCCACTCTTCGTGACGATGATTTTGTCTGACCTGGGCGCCACTCGTTTCTGCACTGGCATAGGTTGGACGTGTTGCTGTCCATGCTTTAATAAATTATGTATTCCTTCAGCCAAAACTTCAATAAAGGGACGATATTTTTTATCTTAGTATTATAAAACCCAAAAAAATAGAATATTTGTGAAGATTTATCCACATGTTGGCAGCTCAAGTGGAACCACAAAAAAAGGAATGATCAGAAAGATTGCAAATATAGTTACTCTATATTGATTAGTACAGGTCTCTTGAATCTTCTTTTTCCCTATTTAGTATTTTAATTTGAGTTTTTTGTGTAATCAAAAAATTAACTATTGTTTTACTTCTGAATAGGGATTCTCTTGTTGAGACCCTATAAATCAATTGAAAGCTCAGATTCATACTAGAACCACGATGATTTATCAATAACTCCAAAAACAAAGCTCAAAAGTTCTTTGAGTAAGAACCATTTGATCATCATTTATTTAATAAAAAAGATGTAATGACTCAACAAAATCTAGAGAATATTGGTGGGTTTCAGCCATGTTTATCCACTTAACTCTATCCCTTTTCTTTGTCTTACCATTTTTTACCTTGTACCTATACCTTCATCTCAGTAAGAAATAGAACAATTTAATATGTAATATAAGTTCAATCTTATGTGGATCAAGGACATATCAATATGCATCTATGCCAATCTTGTTGCAAGCTCAAAAAATTTGAAATAATATGATTAATAATTTATGAAGCATAAAACTTCTTGTTATTTATTATGTATGAATAAAAGTATATCATAATATAATAAAAATGGCATATTTGAGTCAATATTCTATAAAGTAACAAAAGACTATCCATCTCACATGCCTAGGCACCAAGGTGAAACTACCACCCATTTCTTGCTTGTTAGCAATAATTGTACCTTGAGATCCTTTTCCTTAGTTTTTTTCCTTTGAATTATTACAACTTATCAATGGTATCATTTCAACAATGACTGATTATATGCCTACCCAACTAAGGCTGAGTAAAAGCTATAATTGAATTGGCCCTTAAATTTCCAAAAAGTCAACCCAAGTCCTAGCCCATTTATTTGGTTACCAACTTGACCCTATCTATAAACATGGTACTAAAAGCAAAGTATATTGAAACACAAAGGAACACATTAATAGCAAGATGATACATTGGCAAATGATCCCTCATGTCAACATAATCTAGCATGCTTACATTTGTATGTCATTAGATCTTGTTACTACACATTAATCAAATATGGCCTCACAAATCATTGAAGGATCTCCAAGCACCCATGTGGAAGAGACTAATTAATATGATTTATACATCTTTTGTTATCTTCGTAAGTTAGATTGGTAAGAGAAACCTTGGCTTTTAGAAAAATGATAGAGGAAATTGATAAGGCTTTGAAATTAAAACAAGATAGAAAATGAAGATTGAACATAAAGAATGAAAAGGACACACAATCCATTGAAGATTAACCATTTAATGTGGAATCCCAATGTTGGCCTTTCAAGATGACCAACTCTCTCCTTGTTAGCTA